GAGGCAGGGCCAGCAAGCAGTGGTGGGACCACCCAGTGATGGCCCCCATGGGAAAGGGGTGTGCCTTGAGTAACTGAGTCAGGAGATGACTTAAGGACAGGAGAGGAGGAAGGGCCCGGGTCTCTACCACCTGCCTGACTCCTGACAGTACCAGGCCGTGGGGGTTGCCTCTTCCTTGCACTAGCTTCATGCTCTTGGGACCGGGCTCACAGCGACGGCTTTGAGCCATACAGCCTTGCTCAGCACCCAGCTTTTCCAGACTCCAAGACGTCAGTGTAGTATGGAGAGACTTGGGATCTGTGGGGGGAACCACTCTGTGTTCCGTCTGTATTTCTGGACATGTGGTAGCCTCCCTCGTGCACTTGCCCAAGGCCAGCCACACTAGCAAGCACAGGTCCCCGGCCTCATATCCTCTTAGTTCCTTTCTGTGCAGTGTAGGACAGGCAGCATGAAATGGACATGCAGAGTCAAGTACAGACTGTGGTGGGTTGGTAGCAGGGGAAGTTGGGGGCAGTTGGGTGAAGAACCAAGATGGCCCCGCTGGAAGGACTGAAGGTCACTCTGTTGTTTCAGGCTGCAGCAGATGGGCCACTTACTAGCCACGTGAGGGGAGCCATGCAGGGTGGCCAGCCACCTTTGCAGAGTGAAGTTGGGCCTGGAGAGTGGACCCGTGTCCAGGTCTGGGAACGGTTGGGATGTGCTGGGAGATGCTGGGGTGCTGAGTGCTGGATGGCCTGGAGAAGCATGAGCCCAGGTTGGGGACCACAGCCTGTATCTCTCTGTGCGGTTTCTGTGTGAGTCAGTCTGGGACTGTCACAGTCACTGGTAGGGGATGGGGGGTGGATCAGGCAGACAAAACTGCAGCCATGGTGTCCTCTAGCCATTCCAACAGAGTTTCCAGGTGGCTCAGCCAGGTTCAAGGGATGGGGTGCTTGGGGTGCTGGGAGGGGGCTTGGGGCCCATCAGCCAAGGGTACTTGGGGAGGGGCCCAGGGGAACCCAAGCCCCACTTGGGGACCCTGAGATGGGCCCAGTCCTGAGCTGCCTGCTAGTTACTTTGGATGGATGCAAGTCCATCCAAAAGAGTGTGTAGGTGCATGCGTGTGCCATCTGAGGCCAGAACTGCAGCCTCCTTGAAGGTCCCATGTGACTGGAGAGAGATCATCCCCATGCTGCCATTCCTGCCCACCTCCAACCCCAGCCTGACCCTGATTGATGCTCTAGGGGTTGCAGAGGTTCCTCCCCAGTGCCAGCACTGTCACCTGCCAAACCAAAGAGCAGGGGCCTAGCCTATGGCCATCTCTGGACTGTGGAGGCAGGTCACATTCTGGGGGCAGCAGAGCAGTGAGCTAGCTGTGCTCTGCTCCTGAAGTCCGTCAGGCTCGTGGTCCCCAGGGCTCAGAGTCCTCCAGCAGGGTCTTTTTTTAAGAAAGATTGTGACCTGTAGGAGAGGCCAGTGAGGGCAGAAATGAGAAGAGAGGCACTGGTTCCTAGGCCTCTGTCTAGCTCCTCCAGACCCTTGGTCATCTGCCCGGGACTCCTGTGGACCTAACGTATCCAGGGTCTGCCACCTGAAGCTGAGCCTCTGCCGCCCTTCTCTCCTCACTGCCCACAGGTGGCCCTGGGGTCCCCTCAGTGCTCTTCTGGCCCAATACATAGGCCCCTTTCTCTCCCACATATGTGCACTGACACTTTGGGGCGGGTGGGGTACAGAGGGAAGGGTGCCTGCCTGCGGAGTGTGGAGCTGTGCCTTCAGTCTCCCCAGGAAGTACCCAGTCCACTGGCAGTGTACCGCATGGGGATCCTGGGTGACTGAGTGCAGAGCAGGGAGTGCTGCAAGGACTGTCATGCTGCCCCAGCCCTGGCTGATGTAGGCACATTTCCCACTGCCTGTTTCCAGGGAGGGTAGAACTGCTCAGAACTGAGAGAACCCCCACTTTCTAGGCAGCCTGGGCCAGGGTGCCAGGGGCTGGAAAAATGCAGATTCAGACCTGCTCGTCCCCTCAGACTCTCAGCCAGGCTCAGGAGCCCCAGGGACTCCCCGGCAGCACACAGGCGGCCCAGCGCCTCGTGCAGTGCTGCCTCCTGCAGGAGCTGTGCACAGTGGGAGCCGCTGTGGGCTCAGGCCCCACCCTGGCGAGGCGACATGCGATTATCTGTGACACGGTATACTTTCTCGCTCTGGATGGAAGCCTGTGTTTATGTGAAGACAATAATTAGTGATAAAAATCACAATTGGAAAATAAGCCCCCACGAGTTGGAGGAATGGGTAATTAAGGGAGACTGTGGGCTTCCTGCCAGAAGCCGCTGGTCTAGATAGGAGGCCTCCCAAGGGCATACTCCCCACTCCCTGACTCCAGGGAGGGGGCAGAACTGCTCTGAATCAAACATTCAGCCCTGGAGGTCCCTGCTTCCTCTGTATTCCTAAGGCAGGGCCACGTGTAGGTAGGGAGACAGTGGCACAGGGTATCAGGAAAGCTTTTCCAAGGAGGGGCACCTCATCACTGTACTTTGTGGGGTATGTAGGAGACTTGAAGGCATCATAATGGGGAATGGGTTTTCTGTGCAGAAGGGAAGCAAATGAAAGAAGTTGGGAGCTGGAAGGAGCAAGCAGAGCAACCCAGAGTGGCTCCCTTGCACCCTGGCCATGTCGTGTCCTCAGCCATTGTGAGACTTGTTCACTTGTTGCTAGAGGAGAAGCTGATGGCCTCCATTCCCGAGGAGCCTCCTTGGGAAGACCTCGGGCTTGTCAGAAACACCTTGTCCACGTGGCCCTTTGTCCTCTCAGCATCTAGAAGCCATGGTGCCATGGCCCGTAAGATGGGTCATGGAAACATGGAGCAGTGCCTGGTGCTCAGGCCAGGCTTGGCAGACTTTGGAAGTTAAAATTGGTGGTGCAGTGGCAGCATGGACCTCCCATGTTGGACTTCTGGGAGGTGGCCTAGGTCTCATTTGCCTGTCTCAGTTTGGTACACAATTTTCCATTTCTGAGGCAGGATCACATTTTCCCATGTGCATTGTGTGGTTCCCTGTCACCTGAGACTGTGCATATGGGTGTGCACATGCGTGCGAGTGTGTCTGCACACGTGCATGTAAGAGTGTGCACATGCATTTGAAAGTGTGTGCACATGCGTGCGAGAGCGTGGACACGTATGTGAGCGTGAGCACACATGTGTAAGTGTGCACACATGCGTGTGAGTGTGGACAAGCATGTGAGGGTGGGTGTCTGCATGCATGTGCGTGCACACTGTGTGTGAGGGGAGTGTGTACACATGCATTTGAGAGTGCACACGCATATGAGAGTGTGCGTGCACACATGCACACGAGGCTGAGTGTGGACACTTGCACATGCGTGTAAGGGTAAGTGCCTGTGGGTGTGCACATATTCATGTGAGGATGAGTGTGTGTGTACACATTTGTGTGAGGGTGAGTGGGGTTGCATATGAGTGGTTTGTGGGTGGGGGTGCAGTGTACCTGTGGGGGCCCTGTACTTGAGGCCAGCATCTTCCCTGAGGTCTGTGTTGGCCGAGCTGTTCCTTTAACAGCTTGCAGAACCTCTGGCAACGGCACTTCAGTGTTGAGCTAACTCGTCTGGTTGGGATGCAGACGACTGGCGTTCCTCATTGAGTCATGCAGAACTGGACCAAAGGCCAGACCCATCTGTCCAGGATGTGGTCCAGGTGTCCTCTGGGGGCTTTGCCCACAGTACCCCTTCCCCTTGCCACATCCTAGGACAGGGGACAGCTTTGTCCTGTGGATCTCCTGAGGGGTTAGTCAGATGGTTCCTGGTGTTTCTGGGCCATTCTTTTTTCCTTCCTGCCGCCCTCTTGGCCTGGTCTCTGGCTGTGTCCTCCCAGACACAGGGAGACACAGGACACAGGGTCCTTGTAGGAACCCTTCCTCCTCCTGGGTCAGAGCCTCATGTCACTTGTCACACTGTCTTCAGCTCTGTTTTGGGAACTTTCTGCGAGGCAGTTTTACTCATCAAGTGCTGTGCAGGCAGAACTTCCCTCCTAGGGAAGACAGCCTGTGTTGGGGAGAGCTTGCCTGTTGTGGGCACCCTGGGGCCTAGGGCTGGGTCAGTGCCAGCCCTAGGTTCAGCCGTAGCTCCTGAGGTGGCTGCATTATGGCTGACAGAGGCCATCAGCTCCCATCTTCCTCCTCTCCCTTGAGGGCTCTTTGCTCCCCATCTGCGTGGAATCACAGGCCCTTGTGCCAGATCAAAGGCAGCCAGGGAGAGGCCCCAGGAGCCTGTGCCAGGCTTCCTCAGCCAGTGCACCCCACAGCGGCCACCTCCCAGCCTGGGCTTCCCCATAAGCCAGGCCTCTTCCCCTGGCCTTGGCCTCTGGCTGCTGCTGACTCCCAGGACCCCATGGCACTGGCTTCTCAGTACGGGCGGCTGGGGTGGGGCCACACCATGGGGGCCAGCAGGCTAACACTTCAGTGTCCAGCCCAGGACACGTGCCCGCAGGGGGACGCAGCAGGAATCTCTGGGGACTTTAGCACCCAAGGTTACAGCACAGTCCAGGCAGAACTCAGCAGCAGTGTCTGTGGCTGTGACCGTGTAGGAGGGGGAGGGGTGGACAAGGACCAGTGACAGTGATGAGCAGAGGTGATTCAGAGAGCACCTTGTCCAATAGGGAATCCAGGGAGAAGGGGACCTGAGTCCACGGAAGGCTGGAGTGGTGCTACCCAGGGGATGGCCTGGGGCCCATCATGCTGTCCCAGGAGAGGGACAAAGTACCACTGACACTGTGGCCCCAGGAAGGGTGAGGCTTTGGGGGCAGGTACCGCCTTCCTTGGAGCCATTCTGGCCAGTGACTAAGAAACACCTGGGGTGGACAGCAGCCACAGAACCCGGAAGTCTTGGGGATTTCTGGACAGGAAGGGCAGAATGTAGACCACGAGTGAGGGTGGAGCCCCTGCTGACTAGAGCAGGCAGATAGGGCAAGTGGATGTGGCCCTGGCCCTGGGGCTGAGCCCAGCCCTTCTCTCCCACAGGCCTTGTGAAGCTAGGGATTCACTGTGTCACATGCCAGAAGGTTGCCATCAAAATCGTCAACCGGGAGAAGCTCAGTGAGTCGGTGCTGATGAAGGTGAGAGGCGGCAGCCGGGGTTTAGGGGCCAGTGTGGGGTGGTCTCACATACCCTGAAACTGAGCCCAGGTGTACTGCACATCCCCATGGAAGCAAGGACAGGAGGCTCCTGGGCTCCCCTCTGCCCACTCCTGTTGGCTGCAGCACAAGTGGCTTCCCTGACCCGGTGGATGGGCTGACAGTGGGTAGCAAAGGTGCTGGGCCTCAGTTTCCCTAGTTTAAATGGAAAGGAGGCCCTGTCCCTTAGAACTCCTGCCTCTACAGATGGATCCAGACAGGCTGGTTTGGGAAAACCAAGGAACCTGAGAGATGAGGGACAGTTAAAGAGGAGCTGAGATGGGAAGGGCGTCTTCGAGGACTGGTGGGGTTACCTGAGATTCTGCCTTGGAGGTGGGGCTGAGGCGTGCATGGAGTTGAGGACAAGTGTTGAATTGGGGACACTAAGCGGAAAGAGCAGAACCCAGTGGTACAGGGTCCTAAGGCATGGCTGAAAGTCCTGGCACCACGGGTGTTGCACACACAGCCCATGTGTGAAGGGAAGAGCTTGGGGACAGGGTTGTCTGTGAGAGGCCACCTCAGATCTGGTGGCCCCTCTGCCAGCCTGTATGGGGTGAGGTAGTTGTGGGGTCAAGCTGACTGTTGAGAGTGGAGGCTGTGCCTCCAGCTCAGAAGCAGGCTGGAGTGCCCTCTGTCTAGGGTACTTGTGCCCCTTCCTAGGGCCCCGGGACAGGCTGTACCTTTCCCACACAGTGGCAGTGCCAGCCAAGACTGTGGACTGGGGACTTGATACATGCAGCTCCATGCACACACACACACACACAGGGTACCGGCACACTTACTTGCAGCCCTGCCCAGGGGCCCAGCCCCGCCTGTGTAGTCCCCATGCCCAGGGAACTAGGGTAGAGCCAGGCATCAGCCAAGCCAGGAAGCTGACCTCCTCTTCTCCCCAGCCAGGCACCCAAATGCAGTGTCAAGGAGCAAGGGGGTGATGCCCACAGGCCTGTGGGAGGGAGGGCCTCCCACAAAGGGCCTGCAGCCCAGCTGCAGTGTGGCACATGACATCTGTCTTCCCTGGCAGGTGGAGCGGGAGATAGCGATTCTGAAGCTCATTGAGCACCCGCATGTGCTGAAGCTGCATGATGTCTACGAAAACAAAAAATATTTGTAGGTATTGCTGGGCCTGGAGAGTGGGGCAGGGAGGCCAGGGCAGGTGGCTCGGGCTGCCCCTGGGGCTGGGACTGGGGAGCACCTGCTGTCACTTGGTAGCCAGTGTTGCCCTGTAGTGGGCTGTCTGGGGCTGTATGGGTGACCGGTGGAAGAGAGCCTCAGCCCAGGCCGCAGTGGTCACTGCTTCTTGACCAGACCATAGCCTGTCTACTGGGGACTTGCAGGGTCATCAGCTTAAGGCTGAGTGGGGCTGGGGCTCCCAGGGATGGAACTGTTTGCACCCTCAATGCTGGCCCCACTGAGCCTCTGTTCCTCTGCCAGTGCTGCCAGGCCTCCTGACTCCTACAGGGCTCCAACTCAAAGGCTCCCTCACTGGACTTGGGGGCCCCCAGTGTCACCAGGCCCCCATCCCAGCCTAGACTTTTGGCCAGTGACAGCAACTCAGCCTCCGGAGGCCAGTGGCATCTCCCCACCCCACAGACTGGGGGGGTGATCCCAGTTCCTCTGGTTGCTATATGGCCTAGACCCAGCCTTGGTGCCCTGGCTTGAGATGGGGTGGAGTGGTAGTTCCTAGGACCACTGAGAGGCTGGGAGCAGGGCCTTGCTGGCAGTGTCCAAGTGCTTCCCATGTGGATGTATGGGCTGAGTGAGGAGCTGGATGCTGCCCTGGAGGGCCCTGGGAGCCAGAGCCCTGCCCCACTGCCTGCCTTGCCGTTGGCCTGCTCTGGGTGAGTGCTGCACGCACCAGGCTGGTGTGGACAGTGGACAGGGGGCAGCCACTTCCTCATCTCTAAGAGGGCAGCATGTACAAATGGCCGACTCTGAGAGTGAATGGCTGTCAGAGCTGAGGATGGAGGGTGCAGTTAGCCGGGTTGCTGATGGCCATAAGCCTGGGGGCCAGAGCAGGGGGTAGTCCAGGGCCTCTGATGCTGGTGAGGAGGGGTCCGGTCACAGGCAATGTCTGCACCTCCCTGCTCTGCCTCCATCTGACTAACAGGGTGGAGGGCAGGTGGAGTCACAGCTGCTGAGCTGTTCCCACCTCACAGTGCCCACCTTGCAGCACCCTGGTGACGTCCTGTGAGTTTGGGGCACAGACAGGCTGGGACAGCCTGGCCCACTATCCACTTGACATGCACAGGTCCTTGCATTTGCTGTGGGCTGCACTGGGCATTGAGCAGGAGGTAGCTCTGGACAGGGAGGGGAGGGAAGAGCAGGAGGGACAGGACCCAGTAGCGGGGGGAAGCCAGGGGGAGGCCAGAAGGTTTTGGAACATATGCCCTCCCAGGGTTCCCAAGCCCGAAGCAGGCCCAGGTGGCCACTGCTCCAAGGCCCACAGAGGATAATCCCACTCGGTATAGAAGGGGCCTGACCAGGCGCTTTCAGGCCTGCCCTGATTATATTGACCCCTTGATTTCTACCGAGACCAGCTTCTGAGGCTGGTCGCCCCCCACACTCCCCAAGGCCGGTGCATTCCCAGCCTCACTCTTGGATTCCTGCTGGCTCAGCCTGAGCCCATCCCAGTCTGAGGGGACGTGTGGCCAGCCCCCTAAAGCTCCCAGGCATTCAAGTCCATACATCCCAGTGTCCCCTCATCTGCTCCCATGTGCCCTCTCCCAGAAGTCTGCCCCTTCTGGGTTTACCACGTGGCTAAGACTCCAAGGAGCTGGGGCCCAGCAGGGCAGGAAGGAGCTGGGCAGGCCCTCCTGGCCCAAGGAGTTCCTGTTGAATGCTGAGGTCCCCTCCTCACGTGCTATGGTCAGAGGAGTATGGGGGTGATTTCCAGCTTGGGGAGACCCACTGCCGTCACACTAGCTGAAGGCTGGATACTCCCCCTTGCCAGTGCCATGGCTTCTCGCCCCATCCGTGGCCTCCACACCCCAACCCTCTTCCTAGCAGCCAGAGGGTCCTTGGGCCCCTCAGGCTGAGCAAAGCAGGGGTGGGGGCCACTAAAGTGGAGGGATGGGACAAAACAGGGTCCCCTGCACTGGCCAGCCACACTTAGGGCCTGACCTGCCTGAGGGAGGCTGTGAGGTCTGCCTGAGGACCCAGCTGTCTGTTCAGAAAGGGCAAAGAGCCAGTCAGAAACTGTAGGGCGGTGACCTGATTGTCTCCCCTGGGTGGGGGGGGGCCCTGCTTCTGGTGCAGCCCTAGGGCTCCTCTGACCAGGTGGCAGGAGGGACAAGAGGGTACCTTGTATCAGGGAGGCTGCAGTGTGGGGCACTGACACCCACCTGCCCCACAGATACTTGGTGCTAGAACATGTGTCTGGGGGGGAGCTGTTCGACTACCTGGTGAAGAAGGGGCGGCTGACCCCCAAGGAGGCCCGCAAGTTCTTTCGGCAGATCATCTCGGCGCTGGACTTCTGCCACAGCCACTCTATATGGTGCGTACTTGGACCCCAGCCCAGACTCTACCGAGGGGCGTTGGAAAGACCTGGGGCTCAGGAACCCTTCAGCTCTCCAAGGACTTTGACTCCACACCATGTGTCTGTCCCCTCTCTCTCTGGGCTGGCCCCTGCCCAGAGCCTGCCCCATGGCAGAGGGCACACCTTGCCCATTCCACCCAGAGCAGGCAAGCCACTTCTGATTGGCTCCCTGTGACATCACTGAGCTGCCCCTGCCCTGCTTGAGGGTAGGAGTCTGGGGGAGGGGGGCCATTCTGGGTCAAGATTGGGGCAGAGCAGAAGGTGCAGACCCAGCTCAGCCTCGCCTGGGCCTTGCACCCCAGCCACAGGGACCTGAAGCCCGAAAACCTGCTGCTGGACGAGAAGAACAACATTCGTATTGCGGACTTCGGCATGGCGTCCCTGCAGGTTGGTGACAGCCTGCTGGAGACCAGCTGCGGGTGAGTTGCGCCCCCACCTGGTTGCGTCCTTTCTGCACAGGCCTGGGAGGCAGCCCTGGGGCTGGCACTTCAGCCACTGCTGCTGCCCAGACCCCACAAGCTTTGAGAGCGCCCTGTGGCACAGAACCGTGAGCTGTATTCTGCAAAGCCTACTCTCCAGCTGCTGGCCTCTCTCCTGATGGGAGGGGCAGGACCCCTGGCCTGACCTGCAGGGCTCCCTCTGATGTGGTTGCAGCCTCTGTGTGCACCATGGGGAGGGGGACTTAACCCCTGCCCTGTCCTCGGCACCTCTTCTCCCTGGGTCTGGGTGAATGGGCAGCCATACCAGAGCGCAGCAGCCCTAGGCTCTAGACCTCTGTTCCCCACAGAAGCATACAGGGAGGTGTAGGTTGGGGGGCGGGTCCTGGTCCCAAAGCCTCGGAGCTTCCTTGGGCTGGCCCAGCCTTGGTTTGCAGGCCCCGCAATATGGCCCTGACTGGGCGGGACTCGTGGGGGCTCCCTTCAGGGCAGTGGCCTTGCCTGGGCCTAGTCCTATTCCTGTTCCCTGACCGACTGCCTTTGCCCTCAGGTCTCCCCACTATGCCTGCCCAGAGGTGATCCGGGTAAGTAACCACTGGAGTCCCTGCAGTGGCAGGGGCCTCCCTGTCCTGCCACCACTGCAAGACCCAGCCCACTGCGCCCCGAGCCTCTAGACCCTCTCCCTGCCCCCTACAAGACCACCGCCCTACACCCTGCCAAACCTAGCTGTGCCCTCTGCCCGCAGGGGGAGAAGTACGATGGCCGCAAGGCGGATGTGTGGAGCTGCGGCGTCATCCTGTTTGCCTTGCTGGTGGTGAGTGCCCTTCCCCACCCAGCCTGCACCACACCTGCGCTCCCCCTGCCCTGCCTGCCCTCAGTGACCGCCGCGTACCCGCCTGCAGGGGGCGCTGCCCTTCGACGACGACAACCTGCGGCAGCTGCTGGAGAAAGTCAAGCGTGGTGTGTTCCACATGCCGCACTTCATCCCGCCCGACTGCCAGGGCCTGCTGCGGGGCATGATCGAGGTGGACGCGGCGCGGCGTCTCACGGTGCGTCCTGCCCGGCCCCTTGCCCTGGCCTGGACTCAGGCATGGATGGGGAGCCCGGTCCCTCCTCAGCCCCCACCCTGTGTCCCTCTTGACACGTCTCCTGAGCTCATCCCTTTGTCAGCCCTCATCCATGAGGGTCAAGCTTCTGTCTGCAGCACCTGCAGCTGGGTGTCACCTTGGGGTGACTTAGTGCTTCTTAGGGCTTCTTAGTGTGGATGGGTGCCTCCCCCCCCCCCGTGCCTGTGAGTGTGCCCAGGTGTATGAGCCCAGGTGTGGGTTCACGGGTGCCAGGGTGTGTGTGCACAGGTGTGTGTGCACAGGTGAGGGCATGCACTGGGCATATGTGCCCAAGTGTGTGTGTGTACAGATATGTGAGTGTGTACGCAGGTGTGTGAGCTACCAGGATGTGGATGAGTGTGTGCCAGGGTCTGAGTGCTCAGGTGTGGCAGGCATGTGCCAGGGTGTATTTGCCCATGTGTGTATGAATGTATTGTAAGATCTGTATGTGAGAATATGAACCCAGATGCGGGAGGGCCTGTGCCAGCCTGTGTGCCTTGGTATATGGGGGACCGGTGCTAAGGTGTTTGGGCATGTGCCCAGCTGTATGAGGGAACATGTACCTAGGTGTGGGGGGCATATGTGCGGGTACGTGTGGGGCCTGTGCCCAGGCGTTTGGGCCTGTGGCTGGTGGATGGCAGGCCTGTACTGTGAGTGGTCCCGAAGGGGCTGGTGAGCCTGGAGGGCCTGTCTCCCTCCGACACCTCAGGGCATGCCCTCAGCAGTGGGAGCAACTTCGCTAGCTGCCAGGTGGGCAGAGGGCTGAGGGAAACCCGGATGCTCATCGTGTGCCAGGATGGCACATGCTCATAGGAGAGGAGCAAGCTGCCCTCTGGCCGGCCTTTCAGGAAGGCACTGCCTTCCGCCCCTAAGCAGGCTGTCCCCGAGTCAGGGTGGAGAAGGCTGTAGTGAGGCTTTCCCCCAGCCTCCTGCCTGCACCCAGCCCCTTCCAGCCTCCTGGCCCTCCTGGCTTTGCCTCCCTTGGGCTGCTTCCCTGCTCCTGCCCTCCAGGAGGGCCCGGCCCAGGCAGCACAGGCACTGGAAGGCTCTGCTGGCTTCCCTGCCTCTCCTCCCTTCCCTGGCCCTGCCTTGCCTGGAGCCCCACCCTCCCCAGCCCCTCTCTCTCCCTGGCTGCATTTCCTCTGCACCTGGGGAGGCAAGGTGGGCAGGGGTGCTGGCCTGGGGCCTCTGGGAACGCAGCTCCTCCCCCACTCTCCTGCTCTCATCTCGCACCTCCTAACGTGGGCTCCCCTTCGTACTAACTCCCTGTTTCTCTTTCCTTGTAGCTAGAGCACATTCAGAAACACATATGGTATATGTAAGTAGCTTCTCTGCCCACTAACGCCTGCTTTGCCTGTTGCTGTGGCCTGGAGGGCCTGCTAGGAAGGGGGGAGGGCGCCGGCCAGCGCGGGCTGCCCAGCCTCGCTCTCCGCCGCCTGCAGGGGCTGGGAGCAGGGACAGCAGCAGGTCTCGGGCCCAGGCCAGGGCGGGCCTCCCACCCTCCTGGCCGCCTCAGGGTGGGTAGAGGAGCTTCAGGCCCTGCCAGAGGTGAATGACCACTGGTGTTCTGTCATCCACAGAGGGGGCAAGAACGAGCCGGAGCCAGAGCAGCCCATCCCACGCAAGGTGCAGATCCGCTCGCTGCCCAGCCTGGAGGATATCGACCCAGATGTGCTGGACAGCATGCACTCACTGGGATGCTTCCGAGACCGGAACAAACTGTTGCAAGACTTGCTGTCTGAGGAGTACGTCTGGGCAGGCGGACAGGCAGGCGGGTGGGCTTGGTGCCCCTGGCTCTGGCTCTGGCTCTGGCATCCCTGAGCAAGCACTTGTGTCCAGAGCCATGGTGGGCACACCACACTCAAGAGGGCCATGTGCCAACCCAGCTGGTGTCTCTCACTCACTACAGGGAGAACCAGGAAAAGATGATCTACTTCCTTCTCCTGGACCGGAAAGAAAGGTACCCCAGCCACGAGGACGAGGACCTGCCCCCCAGGAATGAGATAGGTACGAAGCTTCCAGCTTGCCCCGTACCTCCAGGGTCTGGCTGGCCTTCTGGCCTAACCCCTGTCTGCTCACAGACCCTCCCCGGAAGCGCGTGGACTCCCCAATGCTGAATCGGCACGGCAAGAGGCGGCCTGAGCGCAAGTCCATGGAGGTGCTCAGTGTGACGGATGGCGGCTCCCCGGTACCTGCACGGAGAGCCATTGAGATGGCTCAGCATGGCCAGAGGTGCGTTCCTGCCCCCAAGGACCTGCGCCTCCCTCCTGCTGCCCTGGCTGTGGCAGCTTCAGCACCTACCAGGCTCCTCTGGCCCCACTCGTCTCTGCCCACTGGTCCTGGATTTTTGGAGCAAGGCCACTGGCTGGGCTGAATTGCACTGTGCTACGTGCTGGCTGGGTTGCATGGGGTGAGCTGGGCTGAGCTGGCTGGGCTGAACTGGACTGGGTTGAGCTACACTGAACAGGACTTGGCTGGTCTGGACAGGACTAGACAAGATAGGACTGGGCTGAGCTGAGCTGAGCTGGGCTGAATTGGGCCAGGCTAGGCTGGATAGGACTGGGCTGGACTGAGCAGGACTGGCTGAACTGGGCTGTGCAGGACTGAGCTGGGCTGAGCTTAGCTGTACAAAGTGAGCTGGGCTGAGCTGAGCTGAACTGGGCCAAGATGAATTGGGTTGAACTGGACTGGACAGGACTGGGCTGAGCTAAGCTGAGCTGAACTGGATTGAACTGGACTGGTCTGAGCTGGGTAGGGCTGGGTTGAACTGGACTTAGCTGAACAGAGCTGGACTTCACTAGACAGGGCTGGGCTGGGCTAAAATGGACTGGATTAGAGTAGATTGGAGTGGACTAAGCTGGGCTGGACTGGAGTAGACTGAGCTGGACTGGAATGGACTGGCCTGGACTAGGCTGAGCTGGGCTGGGCTGGACTGGACTGGACTGGAGTAGACTGGGCTGCACCAGGCTGGACTAGACTATGCTGTGCTGAGCTGAGCTGGGCTGGGCTGGGCTGAGCTGAACTGGGCTGGACTAGGCTAGACTGGATTGGGCTGAACTGGGCTGGACTGAACTGAGCTGATCTGGGCTGGACTGAGCTGTCCTCAATTGAGCTGGGATGGGCTGAGCTGGGCTGAGCTGGGCTATGATGTGGTCAAGCCATGTGCAGAACCACCAGCCCTGCAGTTGCATCTGTCCCTGATGCTCAGCTGTCTCTGGATGGCCAGCAGCAGTGTTGTGGACAGGGACGTGATGAGCAGGTCCGCGCTGTCCCAACAGGGCCCCTGGATGGGAAAGGGCACCCAGAACCTCCAAAGCATAGACCGATGAGGGGTGGAGCAGGGCTGTGAGAGGCCCTCGCAAAACCTCCTGCAGGGTGTGAGCTCAAACTTTCCCCTAACCGGGGAGGGGGGTGGCGCCTTGGTCATTTAGGAACAGGCCTGGAGCCTGGGAGGTCCCAGCAGCCCTGGCCAACCTTGCTCTGCCACTGTGGTCTGGGCCCAGCACTCCATTGACCTCTCCCTCAGCTGGGTGCGTGTGTGCTGGGGTACACTCTGGTCCCAGAGTTCCCCAGAAACTGTGGAAACTGCGAGGTGGCTGGGTAGCCATCAGGGTAAGACTGCTCCAGGCCTGAGCCCAGAACACCAGTGTCCCCGCTCCACTGGCACCCAGGTCTTCTCCTGGGATCAGAACTAGCTCAGCCTCCAGCCCCAGGATCCTGGCCCTTGGGGACCGTCTTCCAATTCTTCAGCCAGCTGTGGTCCACTGCCCCTCAGCTCTAGGCACAAGGGTTGGGACAGCAAGGGTGGCCATGCTGTTGCTCTGACCCTTCTCTGCTTCTCGTGGGTGTACCTCATCTCGGCAGGGCTGCTCCCAGCAGCCCATGTGCATGACTTCCGCTGAGTGGCAGTTGCCTCTCCCTGGCCTCCCCTGGCCCCAGCAGGGCAGGCTGAGGGCTGGTGCCCATCGCTTCCCACCCACGTGTCCTGCGTGGGATTCCCTGGCTTCTGCCCCAGCTTCCAGGCCTGGCTGCCACGGAGTGGGGACTACCTCTGAGGGTCTTCGGAAGGTCCTTTGACTGGAACATCCCAACCTGCTTCTGCTTCTGGCTTGACCACTTGGCATTTGGCCGCAACAGGACTGCTGGCTGGGACTGGAAGGGTCCTGGGGGTTGGTGGGGATGCTGAGCAGATCGCCCAGGGCAGGGTGCTCTGTGGCTCCTGCCCCCGTCCTTTCTCGCCATGTGTGTGTGCTGGCCTGGGGTCAGCGGGCCATGCCCTGCCTTGGAGCTGCGTGGAGGTCTTGCCTGGTGTGGCCAGGCGGCAGATGGGCCTGGCATCTGACTTGCGTGCAAGTGGCCGCGGCAGTAACTCTGTTTTCTCGCTTTGTTCCTGCTGTAGTAAAGCAGTGTTCAGTAAAAGCCTGGATATCGCTGAAGCCCATCCCCAATTCAGCAAAGAAGACAGGTATACACCCTGCCCACCCGTCCCTGCCCTTCCAGCCCCAGGTGTGCTGCCTCCCGCCTGAGCTAGGCAGGCAGAGGTGGGCCTGGTGGTGGGGCTGGGCTGCAGACGCTTCCTGCCCCTTCTCTGTGGGAATGGAACCATTGGCAGGCCAGGGAAAGGGCCTGGCTAGTTGAGCTGAGGCTGGGGCAAGGCCTTTGGCCAGCCCAAGGCACAGACCCACACAGGGATTGGCTTGCATGGGTCCAGGCCAGGGGCACCCTCGTGCTCCCTTTTCTGGGACTTGCTGTGTGGCTGCAGGCAGACTCCCTCCCCGCTGGCCTTCATCTTTTGTTCAGTGAGCATTGCTGGTCCTGGCTGAATTCTGTGCCCTTGGCAGGTACAGCAGGTGACAGCAGGCCCCCGGGCAGATGGTACTGCCCGGGAAAGGGGTGATGTGCATGAGCGCTGGCCACCTGCTCAGGCCCAGTCCCTGTCGAGCCCCTCTGCCAGCCCCTGCGTCTGCCTTGTGTTCCACCCTCCCACTCACCCCTCGCACACCCCGGCTGCCGTCAGGGCAAGTCTTTCCCACCTTGGGCAGTGGTAGCTCAGTGGTAGCAGCTTGCTGGCCAGACAGGAGGGCCATGCATGGCCCCGTGCTCGTGTCTAATCTCCCTTCTGCTTTCCTTGTGCCCTGGCTGGCATAGTGAAGTCTGGGCTCTTGCTTGCTTGTGGTTGCTGCCCCCAGCGTGGCCATCCCCACGTCCCCAGCCCCATTTCCAGGGTCCAGGTTGTGCTGTCACCTGGACCTTGGTCCCAGCTCTGGCTCTGGGTGCCTTCATGGCCAAGGCAGGCCGTACTGGGAGTATGTCTCACTGTCTCCTGGTTCCCTTAGTCAAGTGGAAGGACATGGAGTTTGTTGTCAGAGGTCCCTGCCAATGGGTGCCCCAGGTCTAGCCAGGAGCCAGGCAAAGAGCCAGCGTGGCCCAGGGTGTCAGTCCCCTCAGCTGTTCCCAGCCTTGGAGCTGGGTTGGGGGACCCCTTGTGGCCAGACTGACTGGCAGTGGGCAAGCCGGGGCAGTGTGATATGGTCTTTTACTCTTTTCTGTCTTCTTTCCTGTGGCACCTTGCTCCACCCCCCATTTCCCTTCTTTAAGGACAACAGGTCCTGCTGCCCAGGGGTGAGCAAGCATTTGTGTGTCCTTTCTTGCATTGTGACGTGAAGACTTGGATCTATCCTTGCAGGGCAGCCATTCACCTGTGTCTTGGTAGACACACTGGGCCAGTGGCTGTCCCTAGCTGTGTCCAGGCTAGATCTCCAGCTGAATGAGACAGTGGAAGGTCAAGAAGAGGGCCGTGGGCTGGCCCCAGGCATCTCTTACGGGTGTCTGTGGACGTGGACGTGGCGGGGTTGGGCTAGTACCCAGCTATTGGCCCATATTCCGGACGCTGTAGCAGCTCTGCCTGAGGAAGGCCTGGGCTTGAGTAGTGGGAGTGCATTCTGCATGAGGCTTGGCAAGGACAGGGCTGGATCCAGGTCATAGCAAGCCCGTCATCTTGTCCCTCATCCCTCTGTCCATCCTTTGCTGAAGCCCCTCACTCAGTACCTCGTCCTGTGCCAGGCCCAGGATTGCTGATGGGTGGCTCTTGCGCGCGTGGAGTGAGCCCCAGGACTACAGCCACACACTAGGTGTCGATGGGCAAGGCCACAGGATGTCCCCTGGCTCAGCCGTGCCTCGGGGATCCTCCTGGGTATGGCAGACACACCAGGCCTGGCAGCCTCAGAGCTCTGGTCAAGTCTCCAGGCCTTTTGGAGGTCTACCTGGGTGAGGCTGGGAGCCCCTCCAGAGGAGTCACCATTCTGTTCTACACCCCCAGGTCTCGGTCTATCAGCGGTGCCTCCTCCGGGCTTTCCACGAGTCCACTCAGCAGTCCCCGGGTGAGTGACCACCCCACTCTGGCCTCCAGCTGCTGGGCTGGTGTCCCACCCACAAAGTCCCATCAGACAGAGTGCACCAGGGCGGGGGGCAGGGTTACCGTGCACACAGGCCTCTGACTGCCCAGGGCTGGGACGGCCCCTCGTGGCTGCTGCTCTGCTGCTCTTGCTAACTGCACGTTCTTTTGTTTTGTGTTGTTTGTTTTCTTGTGTGTCGTTTGTTTTCTTTTTTGCGAACCCTTCCCCTGGCTGCCCCCAACCCCTGGGTCCTGTTTGGGTTCCTGCTTGAACGCTTTTCTGACCCCTGGCTGCTGTGTGTGCATGTGGGTGGGGTGAGACGGGCATGGGTGGCATGCTGCACGATCCCCCCACCTGCTTGCTGTCTGCACCCCTGTAGCCTATTAGAAAATTTGTCCTGCCCCCTCTGCCCGCTGAGCTCCCCTTTGTGGCCTGCCCCCTGGCCACCTCCATGGAGCCTGAAGCTTGTAGGAGCGCCTCGCGGCCTGGACACATTCTCCCTCCACCAGCCGCCCAGCGGCCCAACCCCAAGACCCAGACCTTGCCGTGCAAGGCCAAGCTGACTGACAAGCCACTGCAGGGCACCAAGTCCAACCCGCTCCCGGCCTGCACCCAGGCCCGGCCTCCTGGCACCAGCCTCAGTCCCCCATTGACCTTGTCCCCCAGCCCCCCCACCCTGCCGGCCCCCACCCGGCTCCTGCCCACAGGGACTGAACCAAACACCAAATCTGTCCCCACCATACAGGTGACCCCTCACCCCTCACCAAGGGGTAGTCCCCTCCCTACCCCCAAGGGGACGCCCGTCCACACGCCAAAGGAGAGCCCGGCTGGCACGCCCAACCCCACACCGCCGTCCAGCCCCAGCGTTGGAGGGGTTCCCTGGCGGACGCGGCTCAACTCCATCAAGAACAGCTTCCTGGGCTCGCCCCGCTTCCACCGCCGGAAACTGCAAGGTCAGCACCGGCATGGGATGGGTGGGCAGTGAGAACTGCAGAGGGTCCTGCCCTGCTCAGCTGGACTGTGCCCATAGCCTCCAGGCTCAGTGGGCACTGGCACTCCTTGGTGGTCATTCTACTAGAAGCTCCAGGCAGCTGTGTCTGGTGAGGCCTGCTGGAGACCAGGAAGTCCATGGGACCCAGCCTGTGCTCAGTGGCCTGTTCTTTGGGGCCAGGTGCCAAGAACCAGTTTCTCTGCCCAGCTTGGTTTGAGGCTGGCTGGGCTTCACCAGGGTCCTGACAGCTCCCCTGGCCAGAGGGTGGAGTGGGTGTGGACTCCTGAGGGTACCACTGGGCGGGGGAAGGAGCAGTCACCTGCCTTCTTTCCTTCCTTTGCACAGTTCCGACACCAGAGGAGATGTCCAGCCTGACCCCAGAGTCCTCCCCAGAGTAAGTGGCTCCTGCTCAGCCCGTGCTGCCAGACACTGGGCTAGCTGGGAGTGAAATGGGGGGCCCTTCCCACAGGGCAGGGGCAGCCACCTGAGGGGTCCTTCTCCAGAGGCCCCTGGCTTGGCCCACTGTATCTCCAGGGGCTTGGGATCTGATCTATGGGGAAGGCCAGTGTCGGGGGAGGGAGGGAGAAGAGTGCTCAGCTCTGCTCAGAAGCCAGCGCCCTCAGGAGGATCTGAGGTTGGTAAAGGCAAGGGGGGTGCATTGGGATTCCTAGAGACCCAGGAAATCCTAAGGATGGTAGGGTCTCAAGGAGAAAGTGGCCTATGTGGAGGAAGAGGGACAGCTGCCAGACACTGGCCCAGAGGGGACATGGATGACCTGGTAGGCCTGGTAGAAGCATGTTTGGAGGCGGAAGGTGGTGGGTTTGGCAGAGGCCTAGGGAAGACAGAGTGGCAGACAGAGTGGAAGCTCCAATGCTTCCCGAGCCCTCGGCCTGAGGGAAGGGAACCTAGGTGGGCAGTCGTGCCCATCCTGCAGATAGTAGATGCCCAGTGCATAGGCCCTCTCCCTGCCCTCGTCAATGACCTCTACCACTGGTGGCCACTGATCTGCCTGTGTGAAAATGTCTCATGAACCCCGTGCAGCCCATCTGCAAAGAGCGGCCCTGGGCTGGAGCTGTGAGGCCTCTGCAAATGGCATAGGGCCAGTTGTTGCCAGAACAAGAGGAAGGACCTTAATCATGTGAGCTGTCAGTGAGGACCGACCCCCTGGGAGACAGCTTGCTTTCTGTGCAGGCCATGGCTGCCTTCCCTGCTGGTGCTGACTGGAGGCAAAGGCACACACACTGTAGTCAGCTCTGAGGTTCCGGTGTAGGGCACATGTTTGAATCCTAGTGTTAGGTCCTTATGTTGCCATTTCTACTCTTCTCAGAGGGTTTACTAAACACATCTGCTACTGTTCTGCTTTTCAGAAAAGTAGAGAAACAGGCACAGAAGCTTGAGGCCATTGTAGAAAGCTACTGCTTCTCCCTCCTTTTCCCTGGTCAAGACCCTTTGGGGGTCTTGGACCCCCCCAAGGGCCTGCACTGATGCAGTGGGGGTGGGGGGGCACACTGTGTCTTTTAACCCCCTCTGTGCTGAGGACCTGCTGCCGGCTGCCACCAGCCCTGTGTCAGTTGGGACTTCTAGAGAATCACAACCGTAGGGTGGCAGAGGGGGGTTGTTTCAGGACCTGGCTTTCTCAGTCATCTGTTGTGGCAGGGTGGCAAGCTGGGCAGCCTCAGCACGCAGTCTGTAGAAGATTCCTCCTCTCTGGAAGCCTGCCTTTTGCTAGAGGCCTTCAGCTGATAGGATGGCGTCCACTAGCTTATGAGTGTTGTTCGTCTCTCTCAAGTCCACTGACTTCAGTGCTACTCCCACGCGTGGCCACATCTAGACTGCCGTGCACGCAGGCCACGTGGATCCTAGAGAGCTAGCATGGGCTGTGTACACCATTCCATGGATCATCAGGCTCCTTTCAAACATAGGACTGTGTGTGCCAGGTGCCATGCCGGGTCCCAGAGTACAAGAAGTAGGGCTTTTGTTCTCTCCTGTCTCTTTCATTAAGGGAGGGGTATGAGAAACCCCACCCAAGGCTTCCAGAACTGCCTGTCCACTCTGAAACTCCCTGAGCCCTGCTGGGATCCAGGTCTTGGCATGAGCACCAGGTACAGGTGGGGCAAGAGTCCGTATCCAGAAGCTTCACACACAGGATGGATGGATGGCTGTGGGTGGCAGAGTGCAGAATGGCTGGGCTGGGGCCGTCGTAATCCACATCTGCCACAGTGGCCAGAGAAGAGCTCCAGAAATGAGCAGGGAAAGGGGAAGTTAGTCAAAAAACCTCACACCAAGCCTCAGCATAGACTCTCTGGCCCACCCAGGCCATGCGCCAGCTCTGGCTCTGACACAGCCATGGCTGCTGAAGCCACCTCTCTGGTTCCCATCCTCTTCACTAGCTCTAACCTATGTGAATGTGTTTGACTGGTGGATCTTGACCTTGCATCTGCGGTGCAGCTGTGCAAAGGGCAGCAGGAAGTCTGCCTGGCTGTTTGGCTGGCAGTTGCTGGGTGGCAGAGCCCACTGAGTTCAGCATCTCCATGGTCTTTTAGGGGCAGTAGATTGGCAATGACTGCTGGGCATTCTGCTTTTGGATCCCAGCCTCTGGAGGGGAAGGGGCTGTTCTGAAGTAGAGTGTGACTGTGATTTAGGAGAGGACAGGAGGTAGACAAGTGGCCATGTAGAGTGAGGAGTGAGTTGTGGTGGGGCTGGGGGCAGCACAGGTCCATGTGCACCAGGCCTGCCCACCAGGCCTGGACAGGGTCTGGTAGCCAAGGGTCTGTGTGTCTATGGGCAGTTCTGGGCAGGCTCTTCCCAACTGACTCTGGGGTCTACAAGGGGTTTCTTCCACAGGGTGGGGTCACACACCCATCTGTCTACAAGATGCCCTACCAGGTAGGAGGGACAGGTGGCCTTGTTCTCTGCACAGAGTCTGTCCTGTGCACACTCACACCCAGGCCAAGGACATTTTCTGCCAGGTTGGGGCAAAGCAGGCAACTCTAAAACTTAGGGACCTAGAAAGATGGACAGGAGTAGAGCCTCTCCCGTTACACCTCTGCAGTGCAGCTGGGTGTCCAGCAAATGTTGTCTAGCCTAGTGAGGGAGCTAAGGGGGGCAGTAAGAGCGTCAGGGCAAGGCTGTGGTAGTGGCAGGGCTAGGGTCAGGGTTAGTCGGGGGGAGGGTTAGGGCCAGCCTTAGGCTTGGTTAGGGTGCTGGGGAGAGCCTGCCCTGCCCTGCCCTGTGTGAGAGCTCTGCTCTCCCAGCCCTGGGTTGGAGGGTGGAAGGAGTAGACAAGGCACCACAACTCAGTCATCACAGCCTCTGCCCCATCCAGACTGGCCAAGAAGTCCTGGTTTGGGAACTTCATCAACCTGGAGAAGGAGGAACAGATCTTTGTGGTCATCAAAGACAAGCCCCTGAGCTCCATCAAGGCTGACATCGTGCACGCCTTCCTGTCGGTGAGGACACAGCAGGGACGGCAAGCACCCCTCCTCCACAGGCCCTGGGCTCGCCTGTCCTGGCACCTTCTTTCCTGCACAGGCCTATAGGAGGCTCTGTGTAGAGAGGAGTGGGAAGCCGTCTGAGCCTGGGTTGTGACAGAGTGGGCTCTGGGACACTTTCTAAGACCAAGGGTGAAGTGCAGGTGGCCACGCAGCTCAAGGGAAGGCTGTGAGCCTGAAGGACCTGTATCTGGTCTCTTGACTGTTGGTGGACATCTTCAGGCTCAGAGCCTGTTTTTTGTGCCCTGAATTTATCTCACAGTGCGGTGACCTCACACGTTGTCTGTACCATGCATTCCCCGCCCAGTCTACAGAAGCTGGTGGTGTCTGTAAGAGTGGGCTGGGCTTGGGTCTTGGGTTTTACATTTTTGGGTTCTAAGGAGCAAAAAGGCCCTCAGAGATCTTGCCAGTACAAAAGCTCCCAGAGTCAGGAGGCCCCTCTCCTTGGTGATCCCTGCCCTGGCCTGTGTTGGGCCAGGTCTCTCTGGGGTCTTCCTTAGCCCATGTCCTCCATTCCAGTCCAGCCTGGACCCTCTAGGACCACTATATGGTGACATTTGGCCCAACAGATTCACTGTGCCCCATGGTCACTCATTATTGAGGGTATCTCTCCCACACGCCTTCACCAGAGTGCCCTTGCCCATTGACCACTCTACCCTGGGGCCCCTCAAACCACTGATTCTGTGGCTGTTGGCGCCCTGGGGACAGCTTTTAGACCTGCCAGAGGACCATGGTTCAGGGGGTGCCATCTCAGGCACAGTGCTGAAATCTTAGGTTGGTCACAGACACTTGGCCTCTTGCTGTCTCTCAGCACTCCTGCCCCTCGAGCCATGCTGGATGGCCCTGCCAACCTTGGGCCAAGGCAGGGCCCTTGTTCCCCACATTGGCTAGAGTTCTGCATGCTTGGTGACCCCATCTGCTTTCCATGGTTTCATTCTTGCTCTGCAAGTCCATGTGGCAAGTGCGTAGCACTGTGGACTTACACACAGCAATGACATGGCTTCTGCATATCTGGGCTCAGTCCCCACGTCCTGCAGAGGCTCACAGCTGTCCTAGCCACTTCCATAGCTCAGGGGCAGCTTTGATGCCCCCTCTGTTCCTGCCCCCAACCTTGGACTGCAAGATTCCTTCTGTCCTTCCCCATTCAGGACACCTGTTGGGCTGGTCTGAGAGAGACCCCAGGGCAGAAGCTCAGACTCACCGAGCTGGCTGGGCTATGGAGATCTGGTCAGGAGTATCACTGGTCTTTGTCTGCACTACAGTCAGCTCACAGAACTGGAAATGGGCTCAGAGGGTTGGGTCCATGGACTTGGGTGCACAGCACAGAGCTAGCTCCCCTGAGGCCACCTCACTAAAGGGTCAGGGGTAGGGCATGTGGGGCTAGCAGGCCAGCTGCATTCACTCCTGCCCTGTGTGCTCTATAGATACCCAGCCTCAGCCACAGCGTCATCTCCCAGACGAGCTTCCGGGCTGAGTACAAGGCGACAGGGGGCCCAGCTGTGTTCCAGAAACCAGTCAAGTTCCAGGTGGATATCACCTACACGGAGGGTGGCGAGGCCCAGAAGGAGAATGGCATCTACTCCGTCACATTCACGCTGCTGTCAGGTGAGCCATGGCCCTGGCAGCTCTCGCCTTCTCTGACCTGCCAAGGGACTAACACCTTGTATCCCCCAGGCCCCAGCCGCCGCTTCAAAAGGGTGGTAGAGACCATCCAGGCCCAGCTGCTGAGCACCCATGACCAGCCATCAGCCCAGCACTTGTCAGGTGAGGTGGGGCTCAGTATGGCACCTGCAGCTAGTGAGCGGGGCCTGGCCAGCAGTGCTGTGTGGACGGGAGGTGTGAGGACTGGACACGGCCTCCTGGCCTCTCTGGTAGATGCCCGCCTCCCTGCCCCGAGCTGTGGCTGTACCTCTCAGGGAGCAGGGCCCCTCCCCGGGCATGGTGGACTGCAGCACACTGAAAGGCGCCTCTTGTCCACTGTAGAACCCCCCCCACCAGCGCCAGGACTAAGCTGGGGCGCTGGGATTAAGGGCCAGAAGGTGGCCACCAGCTACGAGAGTAGCCTCTGACGCTGGCAGGTAAGGTGTCCGGCCTACTGCCGGGGCGGGGAGGGGTGTGGGCAGGGCCTCTGGCAAGAGCCAGGCTCCCATGCCCACTCATCTGTCCTGGCCCTGGACAGGCCAGTGGGCTCAGCACCCAGGCAGCCGGACACAGGGGCAGCCTGAACAGGCTCTTTGAATAGGGACCAAGGCTCTGCCACTTGGGACTCCTCACCATAGCACTCCACAAGGGCTGGGGCTCACAGTCTCTAGCTCCTGACCACCCAGAGCCCTGCTTTGAGCAGGATGAGGCCTGAGGCCCTCCAGCCAGGCCCACAGCAGGGCACTCACTCAGGGAAGGAGTGTCATGCCCAGAGTCAGCAGGAGCAGCCAGGCCACTGGGCATTTGGTGGGAAGAGGCTACACCTGTGTGCCGTCACAGTGTGTGGGCCCCAGGTTGTCAGGCCAGAGGGGACAGGTGCAGGGTGAGCTGATCAGTGGTGTGGGATGAGGGCTGCTGAGTCACATGAGGGGCTTGGGGCCTGAGGGATATAAGGCCATGGCCCAACCAGCTGGGCCCAAAAATGGCCCTTTTCCCAGCCTGCTGTCTCCACAGCTGGGGTCTGTTAGGTCACCTGTGCCTGTGTGGGGTTCTGGAGGTCCTGTCCATCCATTCCCCATACTCATTCCATCCTCATTCCATTGCCTATGGATGTGCCCCCAACATGTGCATCACCTGATGGGTGGGACTGAGTCCCCAACTGCCCAACCCCAACCCGGGCCCCCACTCTCCAGGGAGCCAGGCTGGCTTGGTGGACAGCAGCAGGGAGGGGCCAGGTTGCCCATGTGGGCACTGTCCTGCAGCAGAAGGACATGCAGTCAGCCTGGGGGAGCCTTGGCCTCCTGAGGCTTCAGGCCTCATCTTAGAGCAGAGGGAAACTGAGGCCAAGGAACAGCGCTAATGGAAGAACCTGAGGGCAAGAAATGACAGGCAGTAGCTGAGAGTGGGGAAGGATAGGGCTGCCCAGGAGGCAAGTGAGGCCCAGGCCTGTGTGCTACCCAGGGTCTCTAGACCTGCCATGGCCGCTTGGTGCTGCAGTCCTCCGCTTCTGGTAGAGCCTTGAGCACGTTTTCTTGAACTCTGCCCTACAAGGTGTTTTTTTCCCCATCACACTCCAGTGCCATGTCCCAGATGTCACAGTAAGCAAGGTACACAGGGTTCCACCTTCCAGTCCTGTCCCTGCTAGCCCTGACCTCTGTTAAGGCCACCCTTGAGACTGTTGGCTCCCCAGTCTGGGACCCCAGCCTTTCCTACCATTGCCCCCCATGGGTCTCCCTGGACCTTAGCCCTTCTACTGTCCTCACACACTGGATATTTGTCCAGTGAGCTTAGCTGTAGCACCCTGCAGGAGGTGGTGGAAGTGTGGCTCCTTAGTCACCTCACTGCTGGCCCCCAAGACACCTGGTGGCTACCCTGCAGGGACCACAGCCCAGGTAGGGGAAACTAAGAGGCCCCCAAAGACTAGGCCAACTGCACATGTCCCACCCTTTGCAGGCCCCAGCAAGGGCAATGAAGGACAGGCCCCACCCAGGGCTCTGAGGGGTGAATGGGAACCACTGGGCAGTGGCTATCTACACAGCTGGGGACCTTAAGGTCACCTTCTGTACATGCATGAGGTCCTGGAGGTCTTATTCAGGGTGAAGATGTGCAGGCAGCCAGTGTGGACCATAGTCAGAGTACTATATTTCTTCTCAGACTAGTGGAGAGGGGAAGGCAGCCAGGCAGATCCAGGAGACAAGGCCATCCATGTCCAATCTTCTGGCATTGGCTGCCCACCTTGCTCCCACCCCATTGTAGTCACTCACCTACTCTGACCACTCTGCTCCTGTGAAGCTCCATCTCTCCCTGTTCTGAGCCAGGCCCTGCTCCAGCCAGGTCTATCCTGTTAGGCTGTGCCCACTCCTGCCTCTGCCCCCTCCCAGCGCTGTGTGGGCTGCAGGTGGCCAGCCAGCCCCAGGTAGAAACGGGCAGCCTTTTCACTCTCTCCCTCCCTCCTCTCTCCATCTGTGCTCCAGACACCACTAACTGTATGGAAATGATGGCGGGGCGGCTTTCCAAATGTGGTAAGAATCCCTCACATTCACCTGGCACTCTTGCCTGCCACCCCACTGCTCACCCCTGCAGTCTACCCTGCCGCCCCTGGGGCTGCCCAGGGTCCCCTGTGTATGCACAGGCTCCCGCCACTCCCAACACTCATCTGCCAAGAGCAGTCTCCATTATTCACCTGCCCTCTGGGTAGTCCCTGCCTATCCCCATAATCAGTGAAGGCCCAGGAGGAACTCCAAGACTTAGAGCAGAAAGGTGTCCTCATACCCAAGACCAGTGAGGTACATTCAGGTACTGGCCTGGGATCAGGGTGGACTCTGTCCACAGGCTATGCCTGGCAGGGAGAGGAAGGGGCCTGCAGTGCTCTGGGCTCAGATGGAGGTCAGGTTGAGTGGAGTCAAGGTGCCCCATCAGCATACCTGGGTAGTGAGCACAGGCTCCAGGAAGAGTGGACACTGTGTTTTTGCCCCATTCTTCCTGCTCTCCAGGACCAGGGACCTGGCTCTGGCTGCCTGTCCCTAGGCTCTCACCTGCTCACCCATGCCCATCATGCCTGTCCATCCATCTGACCATCTGTCTGTTGCTAAACTGTCCATGCTGGCCCGGGGCTAGGCTTTGGGCCTCTTGGTGAGGTGTGGTTGGTGTGTCCTCTCCCTGTCTTCTGCTGGATGCTGCCCCAGCCTCCCCATTCCCAGAGCAGGCCCCAGGATCCTGCTCCATCTCCAGAGCTCTGGTCTTTACACAGCTGTTTCCATAATTGGGGTTGGCCAGCTGACATGGCTCTGAGGCTTGCAGGAGAGGCAAGGCCCGGGGCCTTCAGGGCCAGGCCTAGAAAGGAAGGAGGGGGTTTCATGGCCTGCCCTAGGCCTCTGTTTGTAAAAGGAGCCCCGGGTCTCCATGACAGCTCAGAGGCACAGAGGGCCCAAGTTTCTGGCCCTGCAGCATCAGCCCCTCAACCGTCTGTCCCTGGAGCTAGGGACCCCACTGGCCGCCTGCCCACCCTGCCTGCTGCCCGCCTGTCCCTGCTTCGCCACCCATCTCAGACCTCATCTTGTTGGGTTTTCCTTTCTCTCGTCAAGGCCCCTTCGTTCATTTGTTTGTTCTCTTTCTCTCCTTCCCTCCCTTCCTCTTTCTCTCCCACCCTTTTTCTTTTCTCTTGTTTGTTTTTTTTTTTTTTTGTCTTCTGTTCTGTGTACCCAGGCAGCCCATTGAGTAACTTCTTTGACGTAATTAAACAACTTTTTTCAGACGAGAAGAACGGGCAGGCGGCCCAGGCCCCCAGCACACCCGCCAGGCGGAGTGCCCACAGCCCCTTGGGCGACTCCGTGGCCGCTGGCCCTGGAGGGGACATCGAGTACCCGATGGGCAAGGACGTGGCCAAGATGGGGCTGCCCGCCGCCCGCCGTGAGCAGCCTTAGACACTAGTCCCTTCCCAGCACAGCACTGATGCGGCAGTCACCGCCCTGTGTGAACCAGGGCCACACCTGCCTACCCTGTCATTGTCTCAAGCCTGGGAGGAAAGGAGAGCTGCCAGGCTGCAGCCTGCAGCTGGGCTGCTGGGCTTGCTCTCTTTTCTCTCTCGCGGTCTCTGTCTCTGCCTGTCTCTGACAGCGTCGCTTGTTTCGCTCTGATACCAGGAATTATCCCGAAAAGTTAACATGTCACCTCCACGAGGCTATCCTCTGTGCTCCGTGCGGACACTGGCTGACCGAAGGCAGCTGCTGCGGACCTGCCCTCCGTCCTGCTGTTGCTGCGGCCGGGCGGAGAGGCTAGCCCGCTGCCCACCGTCTCCGCCCACCCCTGGCAGCTCAGCATGGCCCGTGGCAGGAGGACCCAGCTCCTGGGGAAAGCCTCCTCCTGCCCAGCCACCCTGGAATCCCAGTGACCAGACCCTCAGCAGGGACAGCCTGCCCATCACCTTCCAGGGCGGGGACCTTGTGGTGGGTGAAGCAGTGGGAACAGACCATCCATCTGCCTGTGTACCACACCCGGAGGCCTCCTCTGTGGTCACGCCGCTTCTGCACCTCGGCCTCACTGGGACCACCTCCTGTCTTGTCTGCATCCATTTCTGCACCCCTCGTTGCGGCTGTGGGTGTTCCTGGCTCTTGAAGGCCCTCCCTGGCTGAGGTGGAAATGGAGAGCCTGGCCAGGCTATGGGCGCTGGGCTAAGATCAGTATTATTTATTCGCTATTTTCATTTATTGAGTTTCTTCAGTTCTCTGTTCAGGGAAGGGGCAGCAGCAGCAGTGCCCTCCTGCTGTCTATCCGTTCATCTGTCTGTCTATTTGTCTCGGGCAGGGTGGGTCCATAGCCAAGGTGCCCTCTGAGGACAGTGCCGTCAGGGGGCTGGGGGCAGCAGGGGAGGGGGTGACCGGTGGATGCAGCACTGGCAAGCTACTGTAAACTTCAAAGAATTCCTGCAAGATATTTTTATAAACTTTTTTTTCTTGGTTGTTTTTGGAAAAGGGCGTGGGGATGGGGGGAGCCTCTGGGGCAGGGCTAGATTTTGTGTTTCGGTTCCTCGCTCTTGGTTATTTCTATATACATATACATATATATATATATAGATATATATATATATATTTAAAGAATGACGCGGTTAGCTCTATCCCAGGTTCTGTTTTATTACTGCCTAGAAGCAGCTCCAATGCCATATGGGGGCTTGGGGCACCAGGTGTCACCCTGTAGTAGACGGCTGAGCCTGCAGCCCACAATGGCACTGCCTAGTGCTGCTCTTCTGGGCACTCCAGGCTGGGGGGTGATCTTGGTTTTGTGTCTGAGAATGAAGGAGCAGAAGGCCCCAAGCTGACACCCCATGTGGTCACACACAGAATGGCAGGGGCACCCTGGGGCTTTTTTATTAAAATGAAAAAAAGTTAAAAAAAAAAAAAAAGGACAAAGCGAGAATCAGCAGGGTGCTCTGCAGCGTGTTCCTCCTGTACATAGTCAGGGCAAGGGGCCCACCCCTACTGCCCGCCAACCGCCGGGCCGGCCCGCCTTGCTTTGCCCCATCTCCAGCTTCCGTGTTCCATTCTGTTTGTTGGTCTGGCCCTCCAGGCTGGCCCACAGCGCCCAGGCATGGCTGAGGAGGGCTGGGCTGGGCGGCAGGTTTGATGCATGCCTTTGCTGTGAGTCCACTTTGCTTTTGGGTGTCTCCCCCCCACCCCATGTATAGATTTTAGTGCTTCTGTTACATTAAACCTCTACCACAGACTGGGATTTCTATACATAAGACAAAATCAAACACCTGTAACAAACAGCAAAAGCCACGCGGTACAAGCGGGAAGGGGCTTATCCATGGAGACAGAGGATACTGAAAGCAATACCTCTCGTTAGCCTTCCTCTTTTGTACTTCGGACACACCCGGACTCACGCAGACGTCACGGAAACGGACAAGCCCCATCCAGTGTACCCCCTGTCCAATAACTGTGAGCAACTTCAGTTCTGGAACAATAAATTCCTTCCGTAAAGACACCCGGACGCAGGGTCTCCATCCGGGCAGGGTGGGCATGGGACGGGGTCCGAGACACCTGGAAGCAGCTCTTGTCCGTGATGTGCGCCTCTCTGGGCTCTACCCAGCCGAAGAGAACAAACATCTGCACAGGGGTCCAGGCAGCAAAGCTATAGCCAAACATGTTGGAGTGCTTCCTCAGGCTGCCCTCCCCATAGGAGGCAGGACCCCATTTAGGGAAGGGCTGGGGAAGAGCAGTCCAGGGACACAGGAGTGCTATCATCTTTTACACTGCAGCTCTGCTATCACCCCAGACTTGGATGGGGTCACCAGGCACCTGTGCTTTCCTTGGAAAATAAACCTTTCCTTGTTTCTCTGGGGAAGAGTTCTGGCATAGCCGTGGATACCATGCTAACACACAGGCCTGGCTGCTCCCTCTGCTGCTTGCAGCACGAAGGAAAGGTGCAACCCCGAGTTGGAGGGACCACATGGGAGTCTACCACAGCCTGAGGCTGGGCATGGGGCAATCCTCACCAGATCTGTGAAGCTGCAAATTCTTAGGCATACGTGCAGTGTGGGTGGTGGCAGGGCCCAACGTTATACCCAGACAGCTCCCAGAGGAAGGCTTTTCTGCAGCATGCTTACAGTGGGGGCTGGGTGGTTCTCGTGATGGAGGGGTCTGCAGAATCCCTGGCCCAGTAGATGCCAGCAGCATCTCAACACTGCCATGGCTCCTGGGGCAGAATGGCCTAGGTGAGAGCCTTCCCTGGAGCTCAAACTTTTTTGGGTCATGCACTGTCTTGCCAGAGAGAGCCTGAGAACATTGTGCTTCTGTGGCTTAGCTTGAGCTTGGGCTCCTCGGAATCATGCTCAAAGCCCAGGATGAGAAAGGGCTGAGATGAAGCTGGGGTCATTCTCTGCCCAACCCTGGAGGATGAGTGGGGTGCCTAAAAGGTACAGAGAGGTCAAGGGACAGTTTCTCAGTTAATTTTATTTAAAAAAATAGGTTTAGGGAAGGAACCTGGCTGCTACAACTCAGCAAGGCATATAGTAAATCTGACCTGTGGTCCTGTGTCTGCTTTGTTGAACTGATCACACAGACCCAATCTAGCTCCAGCTGGCCCTCAACGTTTAGCCCACATTCAGCCTTAATGGGCACTGGACTGGAGTTCCAAAAGGAAACCAGGTTCCCAGCACATCTGCCAGCTTCCCGTCAGCACACCACCATACCCCTGTGGCTCAGGAAGGGGCCTTTTCCTGTAATGGCACTTCTGACACCAAACTCCCTTGGTTGAAAGTAACAGAAGCAAAAGCAAGCTCAGCCCCCAACTGTTACATAAAAAAATTACTAAACACGAGGGGACTTTGCTGTGTGCCAGGTACTATTGCTGAGCACTTCACACTGAGCATTAAAGCCCACTGGTCCTCACACGATTCCTATGAAGAAATTAAAATGGGGAATTAAAAAAAAAAAAGGATGCCCTGCTCCAGCTACCTTGTTAAGAGGATAGCCTCTCAGCTCCCATCCCTAGTCCTCGGGTAGCTGACCTGACTGGCACGTTTTGGGTCTGTGTCTGCCACTACCTGACAGAGCTGGGGTCCTAGTGAGCCCAGCAGTGGCTGTGTAGGTGGGCAGTGGGGAAGAGCTGATGTACGCCCACAGGGCTCTGGGTGCCTCAGGTAGTGCCACACAGCAGAAGCACTAGAAGAAGGAGACCTCTGCTCTGCAGGGAGCCTGTTTCAGGCTTTGTCCGTGCTCAGCTGAGTCTCTAAGCAAAATGGAGCACTTCCTGGTGTTGAGAGGCCACAGAAGTTGAGAGGAGTGTGGATCTTCAAAGTCCCACCGGTCAGCTGCAGAGAGCAATGCTGCAACAGCCCAGCCCACATGCCCATGCCAGGAGCTCACCATCAGGTGGTCAGGCCTCAATGGTAGCTCCGCCTCCTTGTCCTACATCCTCTGTGGTCCAGTGACTCCCCACCTCCCCTCCCCTTCACATTCTCCTTCCCTTATCCACCTGGCCCATTCTGCCCCAGGAGCCACCCCAAGTCTTTTGGTGTGATTTGGTAAAGGGTGGAGGTCATCGGGGAGTCTGAGAGGATGGCCAATGCCAGGAAGAGGACAAGCTGGCAGTGGACATCAAGACAACCATGACTGAGTAAGAGATAGCTGAGGTTGACGGGTGAGGGAGGAGTGTTCCTAATATCTGGGAAGCCACTGCCAGCCTGGGGCTCAGGCAGACTGCAGAGTCCACTGCTAGCCATATGCCCAGCTGCCTCTGTGGCTCATCCTTGGACCCAGGTCCTGGGAGACATGCTTTCCTGGACCATCTTGTTGGAAAGGCCCTGTGAGCAGTCTGTCCCATTTTACACACATACTAGCTTCCTATTGCTGGGGTAACAAGTTACCATCCTCTTAGTGATTTCTACACAAACTTCTTATTTTACTGTTCTGGAGTTAAGAGCTGGTAGGTCTCACCGAAGCAGGTCTCGGCAGGTCTTTTTCCCATCTGGGGCACCATGGAAAAACCGTTTCTTGGGTTTCTAGCCTCAGAGGCCCCCTGTATCCTTTGGCTCATGGCCTCACCGAAACCAGAACAGAAACACCAGGCTGAGTCCTCATGCTGCTGTCCCTCTGGTTCTTTCTTTTTTTTTTTTCATGGTTAAGATGGTAAATTTTAAGTATATTTTACAAATTATTTTTATTATTATATTATTGTACCGGGGGTACACTGTGAGACTTACAAAAGTGTTTACAATATATCTTAGTTTCATTAAGACACAGACAGTTTCACTCATCTTCCTGCCTGCTGAACTTTGGGGCCTGAAAGCCTTTCATCTCTTCAGGCTTATTACAGAAAGCCTGAAAATCTTTTCTCTATTTTTAGCTCTTTCTAGTAGATGCCTACTAGTCACACACTCTTGCAAACATTCTGGCTTTCCTGTCTTCCTGAGGGACCAACAAGATGTCCAGCCTGACCCTCGATGCTTTCTCTAGAACGCATTCTGACTGTGAACCTCTCAATTACAGTGCCTTTTGTAATCCAGATTGGATGAGAATTGCCCAGATCCTCAAGCGCTAGCTTCCTTTTGCTTCATAGCCTTTCCCTTATTTTTTGTCACACATAACACAAACAGTAAAACAAGACCAGCCTGGACCTCCAACACTGCTTGGAAATCTCCACCAAGTGCCCGAGCTGACTGCTTCCAAGTCCTGTTTTCCACACAGCTGCAGGACAGCTGGGTTGCTTCTGTCCCTGTGTCTTGCCTCTGGCTGCCAAGGACACACTCCTCATTCCTGAACAGTCACATTTCCACTCACCACTGGCCACTATGACCTTAGGTTTTCTCAGAGGTGAATCAGGTCTTCTCCACCACACCCCTTCCCTTACTTCCAGTCCCTCAGCAGCAGGTGTCAAAATTCATATTTCTTGAAACCATATATTTAGGGGACCTGGAGCTTTCTCCATCATGCCCATCAGAAGTCTTCCAGCCTCTGCCAAGTGCCCAATTCTAAAGCCACTTCCACATTTAGGTGTTTGTTACAGCAGCACCTCAATCCATGGACCAAAGTCTGCATTTTCTGCAGCTGCAGTTACCACAAACCTAGTGGCTTAAAATAAAACAAACTTGTTACCATCTAGTTCTGCTAGTCAGAAATCCAAAATGAATCTCACTGAGCTAAATGAGCATGTTGGTCCTTTCTGGAAGCTTCAAGAACCCATCTTCTTTCTTTCCACTTCCAGACCTCGGCTGTGGCCTCTAACATCAGTACTGGACGACTCTCTCAGGCTGCCTTCATCTTATACCCACAAGGACCCTATGACCATGCTGGGTGGGTGGATAATCCAGGATCTCTTCCACCTTAAGGCTGGCTGATTAGGAACCTGAATTCCACCTGTGACTTCTACTCGCTTTGCTATAGAAGCAGTGACATGGTCATAGGTTCTAGGGGTCAGAGCATGGACATCTTGGAAGTCACTACTCCACCTGCCAGGACAGAAATAACAGGAACTGCATGCACCAAGGCTCCGGGTGAGAGGGTGAGTGAACAACAGGCAGTGCTGGGATTCAGCTCTGGATCTGCTGCCTTGAACTGAGGCCCTTTAATGCAGCCAGAATCAGAACTGCCTCATGCAACTGCCGCCCTGTAAAGGAAACAGGCAGAGGCAGGAAGGCTCCCCTGAGGCCCCTGAGTTGGCCAGGACACTGCAGGTCTTGCAATAAAGGAGCCGTCAAGCGGTAGAGAGCACAGCACTGCCCTGTCATCCTCAGAGCATGCAGGCTGAGCGAGCCCCTAGCTCACTATCCAGCAAGAGGCACCCCCTAAGTGGCTGATGCCAGCCCACATTCAGTTACCCATCACTTCCCAGGTGGAGCTTCACAGGCTTTGATAAGCTCCCCTTTCCCCCAGCCATGTTCCTGGAGGTCCTACAGTTCCTGTCAGATCAGCATGCACACCCAGGACAGGACACCACTCACTCCAAAGATGATCTACAGCTCTTGGTGGAGACACACCACCCCTACTCAACACAGTCTCAAGCTCCTACCCTGGCAGCCAGAGCCTCAGCTGCTCTTGCACTGCACTCCCGCCTGACCAGCATCCTCCAACCCTGCCAGCCTCCACTGGCTGCCAGGCCACGTTCCTGAACACACTGACCAGGCCTATGTGCCAGGTTTGCTCCATGTAGCGCTTAGCTGAGAGCCCAGCTTCCCCACACCCCCAACCAGAATTCCAACAAACCAAGTTCCAACCTGCTCTTGCTGTCCCTTCTCCAGAGGCCCTGGTGGCACCCTCAGCCAGCACAAGCCTCCAGCTCCCAAGATCAAATTCTATGGGGATTCTGAGGCTTCCACTCAGGAGATTTCTATGCTGAGATAGAAGACATGGTGGGCAGCACCAAGGGATGGGGCTCATGCAGCCTGGTGAGCTCTAGCCCGAGACAGTCAGTAGGTTTGGAGTTGATCCAGGCACCAGGGATGTGGGTTTGTTGTTTTGTTTTGTTGAGATAAGAGCCTCACTACGTAGCCTAGGTTGACATCAAACTTGAGATCTTCCTGCCTCAGCCTCCCGAGTGCTGGTATTATAGGCATGTGCTACCATGGCCAGCACCAGGGAGTTTTAGAGATGTCCCCAATTGACCCATTATGTAGCCGAGGGGTCGAGGAGGAGAGAGTGGGGACAGACTATGAAGAACCCGGGGTGCCCTGGGACTTCCTGTGGAGTGGTGCTAATTACCAGGTAGGGCAGCTCTCAGTGGCAGGAGGAGGAGCTGCCCCCTGAACTGCTGTGAAGGTTGGGGGAAGGCAAGTGTGGTTAGCCCAGGTGGCCAGAGGGAGCTGGGAAGACCCTGTGGGAAGCACAGGCAATAGGAGAGGGTCTTCCAGTTGCTCACTGGGCTGCCAGGAGCTGGTGATTATACAGAAAGGCACTGCTGGCTACAGGAACATTGTATAGGTTGAGCCAGAGTGCCAGGAGCTGGTGGGCCCCACAATTTGAAGGGTGCTGAGCATTCTAGGAACCAGTGATCAAAGCAGCTATCCCCAGTCACCAGGTGCAGCAGGTGAGCCGTCAGAGCCTGGGTCCAAAGTCCTGAGGTCTGTGCTGACCAGGCTGTGTCCTTGGCTGCTTCCCTCTTCCTTCTCTCAGTCTACTCCAGCCCTGGACCAGCTCCAGGGTTTAGCTCAGGACCCCAACCTGTGCTGCATGCTGCTCATTCCTGGGCCACTCGGTCCTGGACAAGAGTGGACCCTTTGGCAGAGTCCTTACATTGGGCTGGTCAGGAACCCCTAGAGGTCTTCAGCCAACTACAGCCACATCTGAGGGTCCCTGTGTCCACACGAAGGATGAGAACAGCAGACGAAGATTTGGGCTGAGGATGCACACAAGGCTCTGACCTGAGAGAATTCTTTTTATTTTGACTGAACAGAGGAAACTAAAGCGGATCTTAGCCTTCTGCTGACAGCTGCATCTCCCCACAGGGCCTCAGCCCCGTCCTGGTTCTGCCCTGGACCCTTGCACACTGGGCTCTCCCTGGGCACTAGGGAGGCAGCAAGAAGGCGTGACAGGAGCAAGCAGCAGATGTGAGCCCTCTGGGTCACTCCTGGCCTCCCCATCCCACACTGACTCAGCCACCCAACGGCCAGAATCCAGGCAAGGTCTAGGAGGGAGTTGGGGGAGGGGTACCTGCAAAGGCTCCACCCTAAAACAGCAGAAACCTGATCTGCAGGTTAAGCCTCCTCAGAATAAGATTCACCTCCCTCTAGGTGATTCAAAAATGGCAGAGCCCCCAGGGAGGGAGAGGACGGGGACCACATGGAAGACCCAATAAAGGTAAACCCCACAGAAGAAAACTCAAAACATCAGTCCAATAAATGTTTGTTGAATGAATGAATGAATCCAAAGGCTCTTCGCTATAAACAGCACTCATCCATCCAACAGGGAAGCCAGGAAACACGCCATGGCCCCAGCAGCATCTGTGGAGCCCATACTCGGTGCAGCCGGGGTCCTCCACCTCGCCACCAGCGTGCCCAGGAACGTGTGCGCACACGTAGACACAGTCATCTCTTTGCACATGTGCACCCCTGTCCAGCCCTGGGGGCTCATCTTTCCTTCACATGGTTCTGTGCCCCCGGGGCCCCACTGCTGGCCCCATCCCCAGTACTGCCACCGCCCCCGCCAGGGAGGCTGCACAGCACCTCAGTGAGGTCGTCCATGACAGCGGTCTCTTTGGGGTCGAGCAGGTTGAACTCCCTGGCGAAGAGGATGAAGTGGACATACAGTGTGTTCAAGTGTCCATGCAGCTCGAGGGCCAGGATCTCCTTGAAGTGGGCCCAGTAGATGTGGCCCAGCACATGAAAAAGGTACTTGCAGATCTTCTTCACCAAAGACTCAAAGGAGCTGGGGAATTCTCTGCCTGGGGGGAGGCCAGACGTCACAGGCCCGCCAGAAGGCCAGGCTCCTGCAAGCAGGCATCTCCAGGGCTGGCCCAGAGCATCCACACTTGCCACCACTCCCTGACCCTGCAGCCCTCACCGAGCAGCACTCAGGCCTTGGAGCCACAGCAGCCACAGCAGGTGCTCAGGTGGTGTTTGACCCAAAGCTCAGACTGTTATGATCTCTCCGCAGCCTACCCCCAGAGCAGCATGTGTCTGGACGGATGGGTGCTGGTGAGCTCTGCTGGCTGCCTGCACACTAAGGAGCCTGGGAGGGGCTCTCGGGCACAACGAGCTTCCCTGAAGGACACTTAGGGCTCTCTATGTAGGCCAGGACTGGGGTAGTGACACATTGCATGGGCACCTTCTGCTGGTCAATGCTGTCTCGCTGGCAGTTTAGGATTGGCTCTGGGCCCCATTAATAGGCAGGAGAGGTCTAGACATCTCAGCCCAAGAAACCCTAGCAAAGTGGACTATGATGGCCTCTTTGTGCAGAGCCAGCTGGTAGCAGACATCAAGAAGGGCCCCTACCTCCTTCCACAGACCAGGCCCCATGTGCTAAGCAGGAGCCAGAGTCACACAGCTGCCACCCCACCACACCCTGCCTTGCAGCCATACCCCAGACGCTCTCTAGCTCTTCGGGATCAAGCACATGCTGGCCTTGAAATAAGCGCTGCTCAGAGGCCTGGCTCAGGGTGGGGCCGGGGTGCAAGCTGCAAGAGACATACCGTATTTTGTGGGGAATACGTCTTCGTCGGTCACCAGCTTCTGCACAGAGCTCATGACGAAGTCAACATACTGGGGGGCTGTGCACTTGACCTTCTTGCCCCGCTCGTCATACCAGTAGTACTGTCTGTAGGGACGAAGACCACAGTCAGAGCTCCAGTCCCACTACTCACCCACCCAGATGCAGGCCTAAGCCTCACACAACAGGGTTAGAGGCAGGCAGAAGGTGGCACCAGCAGCCAGGTGTAGCAGAGTATGATGGCTCCAATGGGGCGTCTGCTGTGCTAACTCACACAGCGTCCAGTAGAGAGCAGGAGCCTCGGCTGCATGGCCAAATATGCACATAAAAAATGAATGTGGTCATCTTCATTTCTCTGTTTCTGCCCAGCTTCAGGTTAGTCTCTAAAATAAGTGTGCCTGGGAGGCAGCCTAGGCCCTTGATAATGCCCCAATCACTGCCAGGAGCCACACCCTCCCCATGGGGCACAGTGGGTGCCCACAGTTAGTGGCCTGGCCCCTGGATGCCTACCTGAAACTCTCATCTGCACATGGGAACAGCTAACCATGGGTCTTGAGAAAGCCAGTGTCAGGAATGAGGGCACACTAGGTATACAGAGCCCATGACTTTTAACTACACACAATTTCATAGAACTACATCCATGCTCTGCCCACAGAAGAGCTAGCAGTGCTGGCAGGGACCTATCTGCTGCCCACACTTGAAGTGTCTCCTTGGGAGCTCTTGCCAGTGAAGGAATCACATGGGCTTCCCACTTGTCACAACCCACTGGGATCTAGCCATGCTGTGGGGATGTATCAGAAGAGATCCCCATAGGCATGGACCACAGCATGTATACTAATCCACCTGCTGAGGGCCACCTGGGCTTTCTCCAATTGGGGGCAGTTATGGACTATGCTGTTAAGTACATTCCTGTGTGAGTTTCTATGTGGATGTAAGTTTTCATTGCTACAGCAAAAACCCAGGACGGGATCACTGGGTCATGGCAGGTATATGCTTCATTTCAAGAGAATCTGTAGACCCCCGGTCAGCATACTGCACTACTTGCACCCACCAGCAAGGTACAAATGTCCAGGTGTTGCACTTTCTCCCCAGTGCCTGGCATTTGCACAGGTGTGCTATTAGGAGTACAACAGCATCTCAGCATGTCTTTAATCTATATTTTTCTAATTCCTACTGGTATCAGGCATCTTCTCACTGTCTCACTGCCACCCTTATATTGCTTTGGTGACCTGTCCAAGCTCTCTGCCCATTGTATACTGGACTGCTTGCCTACTGGTACACTGTGAGAGTTCTTTACGTACTCTGTAGACTAGTTCTTTGAGTAATAAGTGACTCACAAACACTTTCTCCCAATCTGTAGTTTTTTTTCTTTCTCTTAACAGTGTCTTTCTAAAGAGCACAAGTTCCAAATCTTCATGAGGTCTAACTGGTTGTCTTTTTCATCAATGGAAGTCACTATGGTTTTATAGTAAATCTTAAAATTTGGGACTCCTTCAAGTCCACTGTTTAGAAACTGTTGTGGCTATTACAGTGACTGTGCCCCTACACATAAATTTCACAATTAGCTGGTCTAATAGCCAAAAACTCTGCTGGGATTTTGATTGGGACTGCATTAAACTAATAGATCAGTTTGGAGTAGAATTAATATTTATAGTCCACTGGATTTTCCAATCCACAAACACATGAATCTCCATTTAAACAGGTCATCTACGATTTCATCAGCCTTTTGTAGTTTGTAGGGTATGTATCTTATGGATGTTAAGCCTATACCTAAGACCTACTGTTTCTGGAGCTATTATAAATGATACTGATTTATTAATTTAGCAATGTATCCTAACGATACATTGCTGGTAATACAGAACTACACAACTGATTTCTTGCTAAATTTATTTAATTGCTTCAATCCTTGAGGTCTTCACAATCGTGTTCTGTATAAGTAAGGATACTTTTATTTCTACTTTTCCAATTCGGGTGCCTTTTATTCCTTTTTCTTGCCTTACTGCACTGCTGATCTTGGGTGTGCTTTGAAATTTTATGTTTTCTAAAGTATCAGTCCATTTAATCTAAGCTGTATAATTTATGTGTATAGAGGGTCTCTGCAGTGTTTCCTTATTATCCTTGTAACATCTTTGGGCTTGTGTAATGTCCTCTTTCATATCTTACATTGATAACTTATCATATTTTTGTTGCAGTGGGAGTACACTGTGACAGTTATAAAAGTTTTTACACTACATCATAGCTGAATTCACGCCTTATATTGATAATTTGTATCTTCCTGTATCTTTTTATCTTGTAGAGGTTTGTCAACTTAATTCATCTTTTCCAACAATTATATTTAGGTTTCACTGATATCCCTTGCTGTTTTCAGAAGTCAATTTTAGTGATTTCTACTCTGATTTTATTATTTTCTTTTCTCTGCTCAATTTGGGCTGTTCAGCTCATTTTCTAGTTTCTTAAGGTTGAAACTTAGGGTGGTGGCAGGGCGGGGGTGGGGTGGAGATTGAAACTTAAAAAGATTGATTAGAGCCCTTTTGCTGAAATGAGCTTGGTCCTGTAAATTTCCCTCACCCTTGCTTTAGCTGCATCCCACAAATTCTGATATCTTGTTTTTCATTTGCGTTTAGTTCAAAATCACTCCTGACGTCTGTGACTTCCTCTCTGACCCATGCATTGATTATTCAGGAGCATCTTGATTTATATATGCGTGGAGACTTTCTTGTTATCTGACACTGGTTTCCAGATTAACTCCACAATGCTCAGATGACTTACTTAGTATGACTTCAATTCTTTTAAAATCTGTCAAGTCTTGTGAACCTGAAAAGAGGCTGGCTGCCCTCTGCTGCTGAGGCTGGTATGTCCACATCACGGTTTTTGCTCCTGCTGCTGAGAGTGGGTTAGGGTCTCATTGTGAAACGGCTTCTACCCTGCCTCTGTGTGAAGCTCTTCTGTCTTGTGCATATGCACCTGGGACCATCACTCACCTGACAAGCAGCCTTTCCTAGCACATGACCTCTTTCTGCATTCCTGGCCAGCCCCTTGCTATCTCTGCTGGCACCAACATAGTCATTTCACCTTTCTTCTGATTAGTGTCCTATTGGCTTGTCTTTTCCCAACCTTTTACTGTGAACCTCCCTGTATCACTTGCATTTAAAGTAATGCTATGAGCTGGGTATGGTGGAGCACACTGGTAATCCCAGCTACTCAGGGGCTGTGGCAGGATTGCAAGGTCGAGGCCAGCCTGGACAACTTAGCAAAACCTGTCTCGAAGAAAAAAATTTAGAAAGGGCTTTAAAAAAAAAAAAGATCAGTAGCAGAGTTCTTGCCTAGCATGCTTGAAGCCCCCTAGATTCAATCTTCAGTACTGTGGGGGGCGGGGAGAGAGAAGAAGTGACGTTACAGTCTGAAAATCTCCCCAATTCACTACATTGAATCCTCACTCCAAAAGTAATGGTATTAAGAGGTGGGGGCTTCTGGGAGGTGATGAAGCCATGAAGGTGGAGTCCCTGTGAGTAGGATTCCTGCCCTTATAAAAGAGGCCCTGAGCTGGAGATGTCGCTCAGTGGTAGAACACTTGCCTAGCATGCACAAGGCCCTGGATTTGATCCCCAGCACCAAACTGAATTTAAAAAAATGAGGCCCAAAACCACCTCATGAGATGTTGCCATCTATGAACGAGGAAGCTGCCACCAAACCCCAAATCTTACCTGCTCCCAGCCTCCAGAACTATGATAAATAAACTTCTGCTGTTTAGAAGCCTCAGTCTAAGGCAATTTGTCATAGCAGCCCAAAGAGACTAAGACAAAAAAATTTCCTAAACAAACCATATAGCTGGCTTACAAGAAATTTCTCATAAAAATCCACTCTTACAAGCTCCACTTTGCAATTGTATGCGTATGCCACTCACATTTACTGTACTCACTGACCTGTTGGATTTAGGTTTACCATGTTGGCTGTTCATTCTGCTTTTTTAATCCCTTGTAGCTCCTCCCTGCTTTCTTTTGGGATAAATCTTTTCTTGTACTCCATTTTAATGTATCTATTATGACTTGTGACGTACTGCTTTACATAGGTTGTAGAGGTTGCTCAAAGTACATACATAGCTCTTCAGGTCCAACTTTGCATTTGCATACGGCTACTGCAGGTGGAAGGTGCACTCGCCCCTCCCCCCTCCTGTCCCACATATTCCTTCTCCATATGCTTGCAGCCAGATCAGGTTCTCTTTTTTGCTCTGGCCCAGGCTTCAGGAAGGTCTATGCTTCTCCTGTTTCGGTGGCCACTCAGCTGAGGAATCCTGGAACAACTCTCTTGCAATAGGTCTGCGGATGCCACGCACTTAGTCATCTTCATTCCTGAAGGGCTCACTGGACTTGAATCTGAGCCAACCCTTCTCTCCTTCAGCACTGGAGATTTGATGGAGCTTCCCCCACAGCACCTGGCTGTGGCCTTCATGAGGACTTTCCTCTGCCTCTGCATCAGCATCTGCCAAATCTGTGTACTTTTCTATAGGTCAGTCCTATGGGGTTCACTCAGCTTCTTCCATTGGGAGGTCTGTCTCTGTGAGACATGCTCTGCTGTGATTTCTGCATATCTTGGTCCCACCCCTCTCTCCTCCCCCTCGGTGTTGGCCTTTTTGGGTTATCCTACAGGCATTGGCAGAATAGGCACATGTCCCAGCCTGCAACAGGCCCTTCCCTGATCCAGAAAGACCTACAGGCCTTGGGGACAGCAAAGGGCTCTGTGGATCTCTGACCAACCTCCTTTTTTCCTTTCAAACTAGTTTTGAGTTTCCATCCATTGGTCTCAAATGATTCCTAGGAAGGGATTATATGCACTATTAACTCATATAAAATAATCCTAAAGAGTAGGCTACAGACAAGAATGAAGGAGAGTCCAAGCTGCCTGAGCTTTCCACCTGACACTGGCTGTGGCAGAGGCACATCCAGATGTAGGTCTGTCCAACACCCACTCCTGTGCTCTTTTAAAGGAAGCTTTTTCAAATAAACATATGGGAGTGGAGGAGCTAGGCAGGAAGATGGCTGGACTGCACAGGGCACCTGGGAGACACTGCTTGGCTGGCAGTCACCCACCTTAGCCAAGCTGCACATGCTCTTACAAATGCTGCCCTGTCAGGCTCTGTCACAGGCCTCTGTCCATCTTTGTCCCATGCACGTCGAGCTTGCTACCAGCATAGTTACACAGTACTATCCAGTCTCCCTGTGCCTGGCTGTGATACATTAACTCTCCTGGGGAATGGAAAGCTGGCTGCTAGCTACACTTGCCCCATGTCACCAAGAACTAAACTGTGATCCTTAGGGCCATGTGAGTGGGCCTAGCTAACTGAGGCCAAGAGGACACCTGCCACCTGAGGGGGACACCAGCCATCTGCTGTGCTGAGGCTTCTGATGGGCTCTTGAGCAGAGCTCACCGCTGATCTGTGCCAGGAGGCAGGGAAGCTGCATCTGTCCCAGACCTGCAGCCACAGGTGTATGTTCTTGTGTGTCTGCATCTATCCCTGGCCTGCAGCATCCTGATGACAAGGATACATCAGAAAAGATCCTAAGTCATATCCACCTCAGTCTGAGTCCTGGCAGACCTGGCCTTCTGCCTGCATCAGTTCTGGTCATTCCCTCTACCAAAATAGTACTGGTGATAAGCCCAGTCACCCAGTGGCTCTCCTATTCACAAAGCAGGCAAGGCGTCCTCACGTATGCCTGCAATTGGAGCTGAACATGCACATGCTCGCAGAAGAGAGCTGCCAGCACCAGGCCTGTCAGGAAGTCACTGAGTAGGCATCTCAGCCCCCACAAAATAAACCTGTTTACTCGGGCCCCTGACACTCCTCTCCCAGCACAGTGAGCACTGAGAAGCCAGTGCAGAGGAGCACTTCCCCATCACGGTGCTCTGCAGGCTCAGGGAATCCCATAATTGGCATTCCCCTTTGAAAACACCCCTGCCTGCTGGCCTCTGCTGGTTCTTGGCAGGTCCTGTATCCCAGCAGGAACTTTTCAGGCTGGGCTATTGGTCCCTTGGGGACAAGAGGACACTGGGGAAGAAGGCCTGGCCTTAGACTTCATAGGGACTCCAGTTGAGAATGGAATCAGAGTAGCTGGGAGCCCAGGTAGCAAGGACCAACCAGAGCCCACCCAACACCTCCCAGCAGTGGCCAGGCTGCTACTCACGTATTGCACACGGCCATCGTCTGACAAGTCTCTCCTGTGCAAAATTCTGAGATTGTGCTATACTGCAGGTTGATGTGGTGGAAAAAGGTTGTTGCTGGAAAAGAAGAAAAGGGTCAGGTGAGAAAACACCCCTGCTTCTAGCTGATGCGCACATGTACTCAGCTGAGGGGCTCAGGACTGTTTACGGGCCACACCCTCCCCAGACAGCAGGTAAGCTGCTAAGCACCAGCTCTGGGTGTCCTTGAGATGGAGGAGGGGAAGAGGAAGGAGAGGGAGGCTCTCCCTGCCCACACGCACTGTTGCTAGCCAGCCACTCATTGAGGTCAATCTCCCGGGGTAGCACCACCAGCTCCTTGAACTCAAAGTCGGTGATCCTGGACTTGGTGTGCTCTGGCTCCAGGTACATCTTCTTTTCCTCTGCAGCAGGCTTCTTGCCATTAGGCTTTGCTTTAGATTTCCTGCCATGAGAGAAGGGACAGCATGGTCACCACATACCCTGATGGATCCAGAACACATAGGGCCTTGAGGAGGGACCTTGTCTGAGGGGTTGTGTCAGACACAGGCAACGAAGGGGGCTCACCCAAGCCCCTTGAGGGAATCCAATCCCTCTACCAGAGCCAAGCAGGATGCCAAGGGCCAGACTGATCCAAGAGACATTAGGCTTCTGGCTGGCTGGAGCCCAACAGAGCAGGTGGATGGTACCCTGACTAGTATAGGCCATCCCTTGCTCCAAATGACTGCAACCCTGCAGACATCTGGTCAACACTGTGGACCTGGGTTTCCAACATAGGACAGCCAGGTAGGATGGCAGGGGCCATCACAATGATCTTTGAAGCACACAGCCTCTGCCAAAAAGCTGTTTTCCTTGCTCTTGAGCGCCAGGTTCTGCTCTTAAGCCACTCTACTTGGAGCCCTCTTCCCCCTCTTCCTTGGGAAGTGTACTTTCTTACGTTCTGCTTTCCCATAAAACTTTGTAGCTACTTTGCAAAAAAACAAAGAAACAAAGCCCAATACTTTCCTAACATCCCTGAGCAGAGCCACACAAGGGTCTGGATGTCTGCCAGCAGCCACACTCAGTATTCCTGTGTACTCACACTGAGGCTTACCCCCTACCCCACAACAGGCCAGTCTCAGGAGGGTACATGGGTCCAACCTTCGGAGAGGTCAGGAATCCAGCTCCTGACTGGTAAGACAGAAGCACAGTCAGCCACTGCTGTAGCCCCCAAACCTTTACCTGGGCACCACAAGAGCATAGGTTACACTCCCTAAGATTTCAAGGCTGGCTTGGGGAAGGGCCTTCCTGGCACAGCATCCACCAGGCCCTGCATTACCTTTGGCTTAGCATCCCCATGCAGCTAAACAAACAGACCAGGCAGGCGACAGCAACTCTCTCAGATCTCGCTGATGTGCCCTACCACTGAGCCCCACACACTTCAGCAGGTGTTCAAACACCCAGCCAAGGCACTCCCACCTACCGCCTGCATGGAGTCTGCAGGAAGGCACCTTCAGGGTTTCCACAGCACCAAGACTCTGTCCTCCCCCAGGTCCCACGGTAAGGCAATGCTGGTATGAGTACCCAGCCTCCTCCTGGAGCCAGAATTCGCAGGACTCCTTGCTAAGCTTTTCTCTTGTTTTGAGAAACACTTCATTTTCATAAAATTGTGTTGCTATGTTAACACACAGTGAGCTATTTTTAAAGAAATAAACACATATCTTTTTTAAATGTCTTGTTTTAATTTGAACAGAGTAAACATCAGAACCTGGAGGAATGGAGCAGAACACACTCTGGTCCCGCACATGGTCCCGTCCTCTAGGCCAGCTGCTCCCAATTGCTGGCGGCTGTGCTGAACCTGTGAATAGGCAGTGAAATGGGGTGCTCCCTTTAGGAAGGAAACTTAACAGAGGAAATCCCCATTGGCCAGGAATACCAGCCCTGAGTTATCCAAGAACTCAGGCCAGACCAGGCCAGCCAGGAGACCCGCTTGACAGTCTGTCTCTGACATGTAGCTAAGTCTGTGCCAGGCAGAAACATGTCTAGGAGCAAAGAGGTTTTGACTTGAAGCCTCCACAGAGAGCTCCTCAGACACAAAGAGGCCTGCAAATGCTCCCAAGCCAACCTAGTCAGCCTTGCACACCAGAAAGCAGATAGGTCCTTTGCAGCAGTGTTTGCTCAACATAAAGATGTCAGGGCAGAGGAGCCTCCCACTGACCTCTGAGAACCTTGGGAGCAGTGGCATGGGACCGGCTGGCACCTGCACAGGGTTCTCTCTGACATCTTAAGGCTCAGAATGGGGGTTCCAGGGAAGAAGACCAAGAAGAGCCTGAGGTGAATATTCCCCACAGCATGGGTTAGTCTCTTTTTCTCATCTGAGTAACTGAATTCTTCAAAAATAAGGTATAAATCGATATTGGCATGAAGCCTTATGACCAAAAAAGGTCATCTTTGAATAAAACTCTCAAGAAGGGATTCTCTGGGAGGTACCAGCCTGTGATCCAGTCTCCTAACTGGACAGATGGATGGAAGGTCAAGAAAAGGCACACAGTTCACCCCCTCCAGTGAGGCCTCCTGCTGCAAGGAATACAAATGCTAATAGGGGCTTCTGCTCAAGGGCAGAAGCAGGTCAGGGAAGTGAGGGAGGCATAGACCAGTCTATGTGGCCTGGGTCCCAAAGGAGCCTCCTTAGGAGTGCCTGCCCTGCACTAAGTGACAGGTTCTGCCAGTGGGGGACAGCAGGGATACTCAGTGAAAAAGATGGTTGTGCTACCAAGGTCATGGTCTTTTCCCAACCAGGGGCAGAGGGCTGGTAGGAGGTGCCTCTGAGCTCTGCCCATGCCTACTCCAGATTGTCCTTTGGTGCTTCTAGAAGGGAAAGGAAGCACAAACCTCATCCTGGTTTCTTTTGAGGTGATGGACTAATTGCTGCCCCTGGCTGTCCAAATGAAGTTTCAGTGTAGGCCTCAGGCCAAGACACAGGCTGCGTACCTGTGGCCAGGTCTTCCTGGCCTAAGAACATGGGACAGTGAGGCCAGCCAAGATGCATGTTGCTGGGAGGCAGCCTGGCCAGGCTCTGTGTCCCTGCCCTTAGCCCTAGGAGGCGGGAGAGTAGGGAGGGGGTTGAAAGGTCTCTGTAACTCTGTGTCCTATTTTTTCCTTTCTTGTGTTTTGAAAAGTAGCTGATAGTTTATTTAAGAGAAAGAGGAAAGAAAAATGCTCCTTGAATGCCAGGGAAATATTTTCCTTTCAGCTTCTCATGGTAGATCTTCGCCTTAAAAGGCGACATGTGTTCAGCCTCCCGGGCAGGGCCAGGGCCAGGGCTAGGACTGACCAGAGCCAGGCAGGGGACAGGGCAGGACTCAGCCCAGCTCTGGGACTCCCAACACAGCGCAAGTTCTTTGAGAGGGAGCCCAGGGGTCTGCTGGGACTGAAGCATAGGTATGGACACACCATACACAGCATGGGTACTTCAAGACTCTCGGCATGAATTTCTGGGTCCTGCAGCCTAGCACAGTGCAGCCTCCAGCCTTTCCAGGAGCCATGGACAAGGACAGGTTCTGCCAGTGTCCCAAAGATGTGCCCACTCCCTGTCCCCAACACTTCTCTGACCCCTGGTCTTTGACTACCAATGTGTTTTGAGTTCATGTGCCACTCAGCTGGAAAGCTGAAACCAGCCTGGAATCTAATGCTGGGCATATGGAGCCAGCCACAGTAGGCACCAGAGTCCCACACCAGCCCCTGCTGGCTCATACCCCTATCATTCTCATGGGGTGGGATCTCCTTGGGACCCTGGGCCTGGCTCTCATTGCCACCAGGCTGACTTCTACACATCTGCAGGCCAAGCTCCACCTGGATCAACAATACAAGCTGAGCTTAGCCTCCCATCTGGAAGGCTATGATCATACAGCTGGAGAGGGTATAGTTGCAATGCGGACCAGGATGCCAAGCCAGCTGCTGACCCACTTCCATGCTCTGTGGCTTAAGAGCTGTGTCACCTGTCAGCTATAGGGAGGGGGATACGACAACCAGGCAGAGCCGCCAGTAGGAAGCACTCATCATCACAGTTCTTGAATATGGCTCTCAGAACCCTCTAAGGGAGAGGCTGCCCTATGAAGAACCTCTGGCCCTCACATCAGCAGTCTATTTGTGAGTCTAAGAGGAAGGCCCTTCTGGGCCGAGACCATCCTCCACCTCTAGTTCTCAGAGAGGTAGGAAAGGACAATGCCTGAAAGACCTGGCTTCTTCCTCTGTGATGGGCCAAAGAGTTGTTAGGTTGCGGTCAGAAGGCAGCGAGCAGCCATGGAACTGGACACTGGCACCTAACCTCATCCTGTCGACAACCTGCTGTTCTAGAACAAACAGCACCACACTCCCCCCCAAGCTTTTCCTTCAGTTTCACTCTGTCCCCATCACCAGGGCTATCTTGAGGCCCCTGGAGCCCAGTACACTTTGGGACACCCTCCTGCCAGCCCCAGCTTCTCTGGATCCTAGTTACCAGAGCTACTCTCACTCAGTCCTATGGGGCAGGACCCAGCCTCTGCATGAGGAAGGGCATGGTAGGCGCTGGTGGAAGGCCTCTGCAGGACAGTCAACGTCCTCAATTCCAATCTCTCTTCCTTCCCTGTAGCTAGGGCACCAACTCCAGTTCCTCTGTCTGGAGCCTCTGTCCTTGTGGGTCACCTGCAGCTTTGCCTGGTGGAAAAACCAGGCACTGCCTATATATTACAGTTTCCCAAGCTCTGTCAGTCCAAGCCTAGAGGCCCACCCAAGATCATAGCTTCTGTGGTTAGGCTACCCTGCCAGCCAGGTTTTTGTACCTGTTTGAGACTAGAGAGTGACCGTAGGCCTTTCCAGCTCTCCCCACACCACTCGCTGTGACTTACATGTACCACTCACTGTGACTCCCACAGGTACAGTGACATCCCTGGATGTGGAGGGAGGACTGCAGGAGGAACAAGATCTAGGGATGAGCAGGACAGAGACTACACAAAAGGGACCAAGGTGTGGGCACTGAGCCTCAGCCCACCCACAGGGCTGCTACAACCTCCTGGGAGGAAGAGAGCCACTCCTAAACAAAGCCCCCAACAGATGGACTAAAGCTGGATCCCACTGGGCAGGCACCAACCACTTGAAAGGTCCTAGACCTACTAGAATCTCTTTCCTCCTGCCTCCCACACACCCACCTAGCCTTACCCCTCATCCTCCCTGCTCCTGATGCTTTTGCCACTATAGCAGTCTATGTACTCCACTCATGGTACAACTAGGGCCCCAATCCACAAGGCAAACTTCCCCATGTCCTCTAAGACTCCACTGAATATCATGGCCGCTATTCTAGCCTATACCCCATGACGCTGTGCCCATCGGCTTCACTGGCACCAGGCACTAATCAATCCTTGCAACTGCAGCAGCACTCTGATGACATGTCTGTGCTATAAGGAGCCAAATGAACTGCATATTTGAAAACAGAATGAATCTTTGCAGCATCAGTGGTGCCAGGTAGGGGGCTGAGGATTCCCAGGCTAGGAGGAGTATCTGTGCCCAGCAGAGTAGCACAGATGCTGAGGTAAGAGCCATTCTAGGACCAGGACCCCAAGGTGAGTTTGGGGAACCATCCCCCCTTTCCCTGGAGTTTGGCTGCCCTTGAATTCTCTTGGCAGATTCCCTCTGAGCCCCACCCTGTCTTCCTAGGTCACTGACCACAAAGCAAGGCTCTTCAAGAGAGATACAAGCAGATTTGGGTGGAGGCACAACAGGGGAAGCTGGGAGAAAATAGAGACCCTGAGAGGGGTGGGCAGTGGCTCAGGAGATCAAAAGCCTAGGGACAGTGGGGAGCAGCTTGAAGAGACCTATGGCAGAGCACAGCACTTCAACAAAGGAGGAGCCAGGTGGGTACTTCAAGCCTCAAGAGGAAATGCGGGCAGGGGCTTGCCTTCCCAAAGCTGCTGACTGTTCCATCCCAACCAAGTTAACATGGTGAGGGCAGGGGCAGGCAAAAGAGGAAATGTAAGCCCTCCAGCCCAGGCCTAAGAAATTCAGCTATTCAGGTGGAGCACAGGTGAACACTAAGAGAAGGGCATGGAGTAGGCAATCTCACTGGGGCTCCTACACTCCTTGTCAAAGCAAATGTCCACACTGGTCTGTACACTCAGTCCCAGGTAAAGGCTTGTAATGATCTCTTTTCTTACCACTGGACCAGGTAGAGTTCTGTGACAACAGGGCACAAGCTCAACAGGTCCTCACCACTGGGCCCAGCACTCTCAACCCCCCCTTGTCTTATCTCAACAGCAGGTCTGACAGGCCCCACCACCAGGACTGGGCATGCTGGGGAGAATGAATACCCTCTCCCCTAACTCAGTGTCTGACAGAGTCCTGGCTTGGGTTTCAGTGGGGCCAGAAAGCTGTGTTTCTAACACTGGCAGCAACACCACCCTGCTCCAGATCTGGACCACATCCTCACCAGAGCTGACTCTTCTTCCATTGCACAGCCTCAGAGGCTAAGGTAGGAAGATCCTCCTGGCCCATCTGTTTCCAGCCTCACTGTGCAGGCTGAGTTGGCCAGAAGCTGCAGAGAGGGACACAGAAGCACCCTCTCTTCTTAGTATAAAGAGCACATTAGCACCCACATACACAGTGCACTTTCATCAGCCTATTGTGTCTGTCCTTGATTCATTAAGAGACCCACTCAGACGGAAACCACCAAGACAAGAGAGAAAGGAGCACAGACACTTCAGAGCCAGGTGCCCCTTCAACTCAGACTGCCACTGTATTTGAAGCAATTCACTCCACACACCTGGCCCTTTGGTAAGGCCTACGTGCCCCCTTCCAGAGAGGCCTCCCTCAATGAGGTCAGCTTCTGCCTTGACTTCCAGGTGAACTGGGACTTCTGCTTGCTCCCCCGGAGCTCGTGACAGCATCTGTTCTCCCCACTGCACACATGCAGAAACATGGACGCTAACACAGTCATGTACATGGTCCTCAACATACCATCGATGTCAGCCACTGCTCTGGATTAGAACTAATGATGCCATCACTCTGCCCACAAAACTTCTCCAAAACCAAGACCTTCACATTAAAATGGAACAGGTGGGCTCTGTGGTTTCCACTGGCATCCACTGTGAAACCCTCACTTTGGAGATGTCCAGGTGATTACGCTACAGGCAATGGGCCTACAAAGATAGAGATGGAGCCAGAGGTGCCCAGAGACAGCCAGGTGCAGAGGAACTCAGTTTTCACTTCCCAAGGGATGCCATCACAAGCCATGCTCTCCTTAAAGCCTCACTAAGAGCCTTACTTCAGTGGTCCCAATTATAGGTGGAATTGGAAAAGCAAGAGCTATTTACTTTCATTGTAAATGATGGAGCTGCTGGGCAGGCAAACACGAGATTCCTACATGGAAGGAAGCTGACTGGACTTCTAAAAGTGACACATGTCAGTGCTCCCTTCCTCACAGTTAAGGGACATGGCCTCAGGTGCCTAGAAATTGCTGCCCCTTCAGGGACTCACAACACAGTCTTGCATGCCCACTTACACAGTTGCATAACACATACCAACACATGAATACACATGCACACAGGCTTGAGGGGAAAACACCACTGTGGATCAGAAAACTGTAAGAAACAGCTCGTGGCAACACCCCTATAACAGCCTACCCACACCAGGTACCTGGAGTGCACCATGTCATTTCTCTGGACTAGGCCACTTGAGGACAGGCTCCAGATTACCCTTGCCTCAGACAGCCAAAGTTCCTGCTCAAAGGACAGAGCCACTGGCCGGAACAGTAGGCCAGTCACACCTGCTGGCAAAGGGAACCCACTGCTCATCAGGTTCCAGAGAGGCCAAGGCAGGACTCCTGCAGCAGTGAGATGCTATAAGCCCAGAACGACAGTCAGTCACTGGCTGGGTGCTGACTGAATAATGCTTCCTTTCTTGGAGGCTCCCTCCCACGGGCAGCAGGAAGCCAGGCAGTTAAGAACTCACCCGGCAAACAAAGTTCCAGATCAGACCTAGTTGTTCCTGGCTGATCCTGGGCAGTACACAAAAGCCAGCTGAGCTGCCAGCCTGGCCCCAGGCTGCATCAGCCACTCAAACCCCACCGCGGCAAAACTACCCACTGCCTGCCCAGCACAGCTGCTTTACTGAGGGAGGACAGCCTTGGCCATAGCCTACTGCCTCCCAGCAACCCGCTGTTACCTGAGCACTTTGCTGACTGCCTGAAGCACCATTTTGCAGCGGAGTCCAGTTTTAGGGGGCTGGCTGAGCAGAACTCTGTCTGCAGTGAGACTGCAGTGATCTCCAAGCATGATGGAGGGGTAGTGTAGAGCTGTGGAGGGAAAGTGGGGGCCAGGCAAGGCCGAGTGCTCTGGGATCCCTCCCTTGGGAGTGCCCTCCGCCCTCGCTCTAGGCCAATGAGGATAGGACATCTGCAGAGACAAACAGCTACTCCCTTACAGAGCAAGGGCCGCCCAGCCTGGGGAAATATGGGAGTGCCTGAACCGCCTTTTCAAAGTGGTGCAGAGCTGGCTGGGCAGGGTGGGGCCACGCAAGGCCAGAAGGGAGGGTACAGGGCGGCCCCAGCAGTAGGAAGAGTGGGGTCAGAGAGGCCTGGTTTCCACCTTGAGGCCCTCCCATGCCGCCCTGGCTGATGGTTTCCCAGGCCAGCTGTGTGGAGCCAGGAAACCAGCAGGCAAGGAGGGATCCTTCAACAAAAACACTCAGGTCACGGATGGACAAGCCAACAGGGTACCTGCAGAGTAGACACAGGCTGCTGTCAACTTTGCGTGGGTCTCTAATTGGGCAAGTCTTAGAAAAAGGGCCACCTGGCTCTCAAATTATCTGGAGAGCACTGAGTTAGCTCTGAATAGGGCTTCTCCTACAGCAGAGAGCTGCCAGCTGGGACTACCACCACCAAGGACCAGAGTCAACAGAAACATCCAGAATACCTGCTCATAGGTGCCCAAGAAGTTGTGGGGGTCAAGGCCTTCTTTAAGGCTGCTCCAAACATAGCAGACCACCAAATCATGAAAAGCAAACACTTGAGAAGATGACATTCCCAACCCATCTCAGTTTGGGCCCCACTGCAGCGACAGCCTGGTCAATGGAGACTCATCGGGAGTTCCGCCCAGTGAGCTCCACCATGGCCTGGGTAGGAGCCGTGCTCCTGTGCTTCCGGATGATTGAGAGACCCTACACCTTGCATCCCAGAACCTTCAGAGCAATTCCACAGGGGACAATCAGGCCAACAGTGTGCAGAGCCACCAAGAAAGAAACAGAGGGAAGTGAGGGAAGTGGGCTCACACCTCCAGTGACACCCACTGCCTTAAGTGTTCTGGTCATAACTACACACACACTTGGAGTAAACACTCAAGGTACATGGAGACCCAGCCTAGACACACTCTCCAGGACCCAAAGGGAAGACTTTCCTGGCTGGCTCCCCTATCTAATACACAGCAACAACCCCCACAGGCCAGTTTCATTTTCCCCACGGGGCCAACCCTGCAGCAGCAAGAGCAAGGCAGAACTCATCTCTGTGGGACCAATGGTCTGCTGAGTCTTAGGGAGGCATAACAGCATGGGTCACATACACTGAAAGAGGACCCTCTCTGTCCTGGTGGGCATCCCAGGGCCCAGTGTGCCACCTGAACAGGCACCGCACTCACACTTGCTCATTTGCCATGGTGACACCAACAGTGAGAAGGAAGGACACAGGCGCCAGCAGGACAACCATGTGGCAAAAGGGGACCGACAGGTGGGAAGACAAGGAGGCATAAGATATAGACATGACAGCTGGTGGGAAGCAAGGCACAGACAAGAGGAAGAAGGGTGCAGCCTGTTAGGGGGCAGAGGGTATAGAGCAAGGGGCACAGTATCCAGGGGTAGGCTCAGGCTGGAAGGAATGTCTAAGGCATGCCCTGGCTGATGCCAGGGAGGCAGGAGCTGCTGTGAGCCAGGTAAGGGCGGCATTGAGGAGAAGATGCTGGGCATAGGGGGTGACACAGATCTGACAAGGGGACAACCACCCAGAGCCCAGTTGCCAAGGATAGAGAATAAACACAGAGAAAGGGTACACCTGAAATGCCAAGAGACCCAGAGGGTCTCAGGAATGCCAAGGCAGCTTCCGGAAGCAGCAGGCCAGTATGTGTAGGTGCTGCCTGAAGATCAGTCGTTTTCTGTAACTCACTGCAGGGAGTACAGGGAGCCGACATCCCTGCCATCCAAGTCAGGGCAGCTGAAATCCTGAGAGCAGAGAAACCAGGGGCCCCAGTAGAAAGTGGACCACACCTGGCCAAGAGTCTGTGGACTTCCAGGTGAGGTTGAGGCAGGTCCAGCTTTCCTACCCTGGAAAAGTAGCAGCCCAGTACATTTCAGGGCGACTGGCCAAGAAGCACACTGGGAGCAGAAAGCATAGCTAGCAAGACAGAGAAAAGAGTACACTGAACACAAACAGGGCAGGATACCACAGAGCCATGAGTGTGTATGTGTGTGTGAAAGTATTTTATTTGTAATGAGCTTTTAGCTTCAGAACAGTTTTAAATCTATAATAAATTTGCAAAGATAGGGCAGAACCCCACAGACCCCACACCCACCTTCTCCACTGTTAACCCTTTGTATCAGCACAATGCATTTGTTATAGTGAATGAGTCAATATAGATCTTTTTTTTTTATTAGTTTAGTACTCCCTTGACTTGGACTTTCTCAGCATTCCCTGCTGTCCTTCCACTATGCCAGGACCTACCCAGGACCTGGGTCCTGCCTCCTGAGGCTCTTCTTGGCTGTGACAATTTCTCCCTCTTCTGGATTTGACAGCTGGGCAGTTTTGAAGAGGACCCCTTGAGCTCAGGGGTCTTTGAACCGGGATGTGTCTGGTGCTTTTCTCAGGGTTAGATGGAGGCTGTGGGTTTGAGGAGGAAGATCCCAGAGGTAAAGCTCCCCGCTCATCACCTCCCATCAGGGGTCCCCGCGATCATGGCTCATCACCTCCAGGTTGGGGTATGCTATCAGGTCTCACTGTGCAGGCACTCTTCCTGTCCTTAGGAAGGCAGCTGCCACTTGGAAAGCTGAGTAGATAGGCCTCATCCCTTTGGGGGCAGAATACATGTTTATTTGGAACTCCTCCGTTCACTAAATGAGCTCTTTCACTGGCTCCTGTGTCCTGCCATTGTGTGTGTATGTTTAGGTATTTCCTCACTCTCTGGCACCACAGGCTCATGCTGGGTACTTCCTGCCCAAGCCCTGGTATCAGTCACTTCTCCAAGGAGTCCCAATGCCTTTACTAGAAAACATTAAAAAGCAAGACCTGGGCACTGAATGTGCTTGTTGTTCCTGGGGTTCCATTGCTTCCTGGCCCTCTGTGTACATGTATATAACCTCTAGCTACGTGTTACCATCTGCCTGAGTTCACTTCACCACACCCACCTCTAATCCATCACTGTGAGCGAGGATCACTTCAGCCTCCTCCCCTTGTCTGTAGACCCCCTTCAATGAAGAGCTGCCTGGAGGAGCCCCAGAAGTGAGGCAGTGTGCAGGGAAAGTTTGTGATAGAGTCCAATCAACGCGAAAGAAAGTAGAGAAGATCAGCGCTTCCAGTAACAGACACCCCAAAAGAAAGATATGCACAGAACAGATGAGCCTGTAACCCAGTGTATTAGAATTAGAAGATGGCAGAAACAAAGTGATTTAAGAAACAATCAAAAAAGAGCCAAAAGGACTCAACAAAAATCAGAAATGAGAGAGCAAAGTGCTTTTGAAGTGAAGTTTGAACTTTTAAAAGGACATAAAACCAATACCACATAAAAACAGATGATAGAAAGGAAGGATTTCCTAAATAAAAGAAGAATGACCTTGACCCCCTGCACTACCAACTGCAACACTGGAAAAACATAAGGCAGCTCTTCAGCTGATGGTACAAGAATGCAGGATAGGCCCTGAGAGCAGAGATCCACGTCTAGGGTCCCAGGGCTGGGACCTGCAGGGTGGGCAACCTCACAGGTTACAGCTGCACAAAGAAGGGACTCTAGACATGAGATCCAGTTAAGTCTCTGGCCAGCTGAAGGCGTGCTGGGCAAGCCACTGCTTGACTTGGCAGAAAACACTTCCAGGGAGCACACACTGAGGGGAAGCCCTGGAGGTCATACCGGGCAGATGGAGAGACCAGCACCTAGACTGGGAGACAGAGACAGGTGTTCACCAAAGTGGAAGCAGGCTATAGTGGCCCCAGAGTAAGGGTTCCTGTGGACCTGCCCTAAAGAAGCTTAGAAACAAGCCTCAAGAGGGTCCCAGTGAGCCAAAAGCAAATAAGCTGTTTTCCAGAACAGACCACGACACTCTTCAAGAGAGCGCCATGGAGTGAGACTCTGAACACCATCTCCTTCACAATACCTAACAGATGAAAAACTGCTAGATATGTAAAACCAAAAAAAAAAAAAATGTAACTGTTAAGCAGGAAAAGGAAGTTAATGAACAGCTACTCAGAAGGAAGCGCTCAGGAACACCACAGTTGGAAGCCAGCCTGGACAACTAGTGAGATCTCATCTCAACAAATAAGCCATGTGCACACCTGTAATCCCAGCTACAGGGAAGCAAAGGTAGGAGGACTGCAGTCTGAAGCTGGCCCCAGGCAAAAACTCAAGACTCTATCCAAAAAAAATAAAGCCAAAAAAATAAGGGCTAGGGGCATGACTCGAGTGGTGGCGTGCTTGCTTAGTAAACATGAAGCCCTAAATTCAAACCCCAGTACTGCCGAAAAAAAGTTAATGGAAATAGATCTAGAGATTATATGCTAGAAGTAACTATACCCTATGATGTATATAATTATTATGGCAATTTAAAACATTGTTATATACTTCCAAGCAAACAAAAAGAACACACAAACACATAAATAAGACTGTCATGTTGCAGTGTAAGGTGATTAGGGAAAGCCTCTCTGAAGAGTGACACTGAGAAAGAACCTGACAGGGTGAGTAAGCCAGTGTGGAGGAAACTGGATGCAGATACAAAGTGCTTGGCCAGCTAGAGAAACAGACAGAAGGCTGGCTATACCCACAGAGGGTGACACCAGTGGTGTGGGACTGCAGGGAAGAAGAGAGGTGGGCCAGGAAATGCAGAGCCTCAACAGCCCTTGGAAGGGTCAGAAAAGGAAGCCATCACAGGTGTATTCGGGCAATGGCATGTTACATGTCGTGCTCCTCCAGCATTGCTCTGGCAGTGGAATGAACCAACGGGGGAGGTACAAGAAGAAAGGCAGGCTAGAAGCTTCTTCAGCAGCCCTGGTGGAGAAAAGTGAATAGAAGTACTCTCTTGGGGCACACTTTGCAGACAGAAGTACCAGGACCTGATGGTGAACTGGGGATAGACAATGAAGGAGAGGGCATAAAGAATGGCTTCTAGCCTACACCTATGTCAGTTCATTTTGTTACTATTATGAAATACCCAAGGCTGGGTAACTTTATAAAGAGAAAGGAATATTATTTAGCTCACAGTTCTGAAAGTTCAAGGGTCTGTATCTGCTGATAGCCTTGATGGCAGAGTCCCAAAGAGGCACAAAGACATCACATGGCAGGAGATGGGAAGTGCATGTACGTGTCTGTGTGGGTCTCTCTCCCACTTCTTATTTTAGTCACCTTATTTAGTCACCAGTAACCTTATCTAACCTAATCACCCATTAAAGGCCTAGACACATTAAAGGCAGATTAAGTTTCTGCCTTTTAATACCTCACAATGGAGATTAAACTTCAACCCACAAGTCCTTGGGGGACATACCCAAACCATGTCCAAGCCATGTAACAGCTGTCAGAATGGCTAGAAAACAGAAACTGACAGCACGAGTGCCAGCAGGACACGGAGCAAGTGATCTCTCATACCCTGCTGAAGGGGTGCAAAATGGCACAGCAACTCTGCAGTTTGATGGCAACCTAAAAAGTTAAACATACAAACTGCCATT